CGCTGTCTTGGCTCTTTTCTTCCCACCCAACCAGGCTATTACTGGGATGTCGCCGTTTTGGGGCTTGGAAGTTGTTCCCTAGCATCAAGGTACAAGCGGGAGATGGATGCGCACTTTCCTGGACAGTGTGTTTTCGTACTTTGGACGAGTCGGATGCTCAAAGCAAGGTAGAAATTGGGGCCGAGGCATTTGGGCCGCGAATCGCCACCGCCATCTCATGCAGGCGGCGGCCCGCGCGAAGAGAGGGAGGGAATTCAAGAAAAAAAAAAGAATCCATCAAACGGACACAAGGCGGGCGTTGGCGGCAACAGGGGCCGCCTAGCCGCCCGTCTCCATAGGTCGGTTTGTAACTGCGTGTGGAACTCGGGTACAGTATCGTGTACCAGGCATCAACACCAAGACCATGTCCACGCTACGTGCAAGTACAGCACAAAGTTTTTTCTCTTGGCTTGCTATACCGGGGTCTACGCCGCGACCAGCCGGGGCCGCCAGCTCCTCATTCTGCGGTGCGGGTATGGGGACGCCTAGCGGCGTGGGGGTTGCATCGAGGCCTTGGGACGAACGAGGAAGCAATGGGGAGAGGAATGTGAGGCACTTGTTAGCAAGGCTGGCCGGCAAGAAAGAGATTCGACGAACGGGCGGAATCAGAGAGATCAGAGGCGGGTCCTGGGACTGACGCTCCGTCGTCGTTCCATTTGACGCCGGCCCGCATCAGTCCCCCCTGCCCAGCCCCAGGGATCGGCGGTCCTTTGCTGGCGCGCATCGTGATCCGCTCGCTTCATCAGCCTGTCTGTCTGTCGGGCTGCGCCAGCCGCCGGGTCTCGCGGTCGTCGCTACGTTGCTCGTTCGTGTCTGTGAGATGGTTGGGCCTCATTCATGTCGGCGTGGTGTGGCGGGTATGCAGCCACTTGCATACCACCCGTGTCAATTGAAAAAGGAGGGAGCGAAGGTAGGTAACGTTATTCGCGAGTCTCATGTGCCCAAGCAAGTGCCGTAGTTGGATGCTCAATGCCACCTCTCCGGGGGTGGGCGTCGCCGTGTTTGATTACCCGTCAGTCCACAGGGCCAGTCCATCGAGACAGACAGACAGCGAGCGGGTGAGCACTTCTGCGTCCCCATCATCACGGCCCCGTCATCCCCGTCCATTCAGACCTGCGACCACTTACATGAATGGCATGGCCGTGGCGCGCCGCTGAATGAGTGGACGAGACAACCTTGGACGATCCCATCCTCCCTCCGTTCCAACTTGCAGGGGTTGCCGCCGGGCTGCGCTGGCGTCATGGGTGTGGACGAGGCGGCCGACCGTGTCGCAACACCAACGACTGCGGGCCCAGTGGAACGCCCAGTGGAACACGGCAGGGCAAGACGGTCGCGCAGGCCGCGCTGCGTCGTCGCCTCACCTCGTGCCATGTTCCGCTCGTGGGGTCTTGTCGCCACGGGCACGGTCCATGCCGCCACCACTGACTGATTCAGCGAAGGCCGTGGCCATGCAAGCCATGATGCCATGGTCCCTCGGACGAGGAACAAGTTTCCAAACAATGGATTACAAGAACACGCACGACGGCCAGTCAAGCGTTGCGCCGGTCGCCACTCGCGGCAGCACGGCGCAGCGCTCATAGGTGGACATGACGAGGCCGGAGCTGGCACGGTGTTGAGCGTGTGCAAACGTCTAGTATGTACGTGTACAGCGCGCCAGAGGTCCTCCCCAAGCCAGCGACGCACTGCAACTCCAACTCGAAAGGCAGGGCTCCTCCGTGCAACACTACCGTGCCCAAACATAGGTCGCGGTATCATCGGCCGCGCCAGGTGCGGGCTAATCATGCGCGAGGCGAACGCTCATGGTTTAGCGCGCATGCGGCGTTGTTGATCCTTTCGGGAGGGGAGCAAGCCACGATCATCACGCCGCAGGACAAAGTCGCCGCCATCACGACCAAGACGCCGACTCGGGGGGGCGGGCGACAGGCGTGTGCAGAGAATGATGCCACACTTTGCGCACAGAGGTTAAGGTACGTACGCGGCGTCGCAGGCAATGGCCCTCCTCTCTCTCCATTGCTGACTGAATTCCTTGGCCCCGGCGCCACGCGACGTGCTTTTGCTTCTGAGACAGACAACCAACCATGCAGCGCCCTTTGCATTTGCTTTTCTCTTCCCCCGCCTCGCTGGCAAAAAGATGCCTTGCGTCGAGACGAAGATGCGGGCGGGTGGTGTGGGGAGTCGTCGCTGGGAGGTGGAGGCCAGGCAAGGCGGTTCAGTTCACTCGAACAGGCATCAGGGCCTGAGGAGCCGGAGCTGACGATAAGGCGCACGGACAGGCACGCACACGTGGTGCTGCTAGCCGTTGCAGCCATGGGTCGTGCTTTGAACATCAAGGCTCTGTGGTGAGACCCTGGCTGGGGCAGGACAACTCCTTCCGCCCGTGGACAAGTCCTCGCCTTGTAAACCGGGCAGTATTGCTGTGCTGTGCCTTGCTGTTCCGTGCTCGTCGAGTGCAAGACCCCGGCAGCCTGGTTGGCGGGAATAACTTGTTATCTTGCATTCACTGAGAAGCCATGTCGGGGCCGCCGCAGGGAGTCGCGTTGGCAGGTCGTTGGGGTCGAGTCAATGCTCGCAAGCCACCCGGGTGCGCAAGAGTCATGCACCCAGCGCGAGCGTTTCGGAGCACGCTTGTGCCTCGCTTGTACAGGGTCTCCCCCGGACAGCTATCCAGGAAAGGAAGAGCAGGGACACGGCGGAACAAGAAGAAGAAAAAATAATGTCGTTCGAGCACGGCATGGGTCGGGGCCCGTCTCGACGCAGGAGGGGCAATGGACGCCACGCCAATGCGACCCAAGTCACGCATCAAGCGAAGCCATCAAGCGAGTGGGCGGGGCCGAGACGGGCATACCCATACCAATTGCCATGCCATGCCTTGAGGTCTTGATCGCGGCGGCAGCGCCTTGTCGCGACCAGTGGCGGCGGCGACAGCGACGGCGATGGCGACGTCGGAAACTACGAATCCAGAGTCTGATGTGCAGCCGGCTTCGGCCGTGCAAGCCCTGTACGAGGAAGCATCCCCGGCGGCCGCAGCGTCGTCATTGAGGTAGGTACTGTGTATACAAGAGCCCATACTTTGTTGAGCGGAGGTGGACAAGACACGACCCCGTAGTTGGTTCCAAGATGTCTAGTGCCGCAAACAACGCCAGGGCTTTTCTCCTTTGAGTGTCTGCAAGACGGGACGCGTGAATCCCAGGTACAGTACAAGGCGGTACTTACCATGGGCTAACTACACCACAGGACGGAGGATATCAAGTCCTCTGGACCATGGCATGGATGGAGCTACTCTGTAATGCACACGGCATCGTCCACTGGACCTAGTCTTGGATTGGCTATTCGCGCGCTGCGAGCCTGCCACGGCGACAGACTGCGTGCGACTTCGGCGGCATCGCAGACGGTGGACGCGGTGCTCCGTATCCGCTTCGGCGACGACAAGCCCACAAGGCGCGTGCGCCCTCCAGTTCCAGCTCATGGGGACCACGGGTCCAGTCGCGATGGCGTCCCGCCCCGTCTAGCGTACCCGGAGCCCGGTGTCGGCGGCGGCGGCGTTGGCGGCGTGACTGCTCCCGCGGATGATGCCGACGAGTGCTGATGTCGCTTCCATGTCGGGGCTTTGCTGATGCTGATGCTGAGGTTGATGCTGATGCTGATGCTGATGCGGATGCGGATGCTGATGGCGGGGTGGCTGGCAGTAACCTGGAGCTCGTCGCTGATGCTGCTGACCAAGGGGGGCGGCGACTGGGCGCGCCCTGCGACAAGCATGACAGGAGGGCGGGTGTCGGAGGGCGGTCGGAGCGGCCTGCAGCCTGTCGTGTCGTGCTCTTGCTCTTGCTCTTGCTCTTGCTCACATGGCGCGATGCATTTCATCATCGGGTGCGAGGTGGTCGAGCGAGACGGGATGCCACGGTGATGCCATTTTGGTGCCAAGGTGGGGAGGGGGGAGTCAAATGGCCTGGTCTCAGTCAGAGCAGGGTGCCCGAGAGAACCCTGGAAGAGAAGCGACGAGACAGCATCATGACCGCCGCTGGTCGCTGTACGCCAGGCACTGTTGGCATCCTGGCACTTGCCCGGGCATTTGCATTGCGCAGGGCAGTGACCCGAGGGAAGGGTATCTCGGCGCCGGGCCTGCGGGCAGGATGTACCTCGGCTCAAGTACCTAACATTATGCACCTATCCTCTCCCCATCCATACCTACCTAGTAAGGTACTAGGTGGCTGGGTACAGCACGGGCAGGACAGCCAACCCGTGCATGATGCCGTATCCGTGCCGTCCTGGTGCCGGATCCATGGATGCGAGATGCCAACTGCCGTCCAACCACACACCCACCACTGGCGCAAGTGCCATGGGCCGTGCCAGCCACGGACGGGGACAGTCTCTGGTACCAGCCAACTGCCAACCAAGGTACTACTACCAACCAGCTTCTGGAGAGTCAATGGGCGCCTGCGTGCGACCGCGACCGCGACCGCGAGAACACCCGGACGGACCACAGTGCGTGCCGTGGGAGCAGCATCGCTGGATTGCGAGCTGCGCGCAAGGTTATTACAGGGCCTGCTAAAGTTGGAGCTTGGTGCCTGACGGCCCCAGCCAGCCCGGCCCCTAAGAATAGGTAGATACCTACCTAGGTAGTAATTAGTAGGTGAGGCAGTCAAGGTACCTAGTAATAAGTGAGCATGCACCTGTCGGTGGTACGTCTTTTCTTTGCCACGGCCGCCCCCCCAAGGGCGAGGGGGGTGCAATTGGAGACACAGCTGCGGCAACGTAGTTCGCTAGCTCTTGGCGCTGAGCACAGGCGAGCGTTTGCCATGGCGCCAACCTGCCGAGTGCTCCTGCCTCCTAGGCACCTGATACCGATAGCAGGTTGCTATTGTTGCTCAGCCACTTTTGCTCAAACGGTCCCGTCTTGGGGGGGGGGGACGCGTTCCGGGGGATGGGATGGGTTTCGACAGCGCAGCGGCAGCGCTGGGACGGGCTTCTGCGCTGCCGTAGCCCACTTGCCCACCTCCTGGAAGATGGCCCCCCCATTGGGATGGAACGGAACATGGGCACCCACGTCTGTTCCATCAGTGAGGCATGCAATGGAAGGCCCGACCAACGCGCCAACGCTAGGTACATACCTACAGCAACCCAAGGCGCTGGGCGGGCCCATCCACGCTTACAGACAGCGCCCGCCGCCCGACTGCTGCACCAACCAACCCACCTCCCTGTTCGCAAGGTAATTGGCCACCAACAGCGAGCGAACTGACCTCGATTGCCAGCCAGCTCGCCAGCCCTTGCCAACCTACCGACCAACCAACCGACCAACCATCAAACCAACCGAAACCAACCCAACGGCGGCGGCGGCGCCCATGGAACCGGTCAGCCTGCGTGGCCGGAGGGTTCGGGGAACAAACATGCAGCGATTGAAGGTCCAGCAGCGAGCGCATTCGTCAGCGGGATCATTGCATTGGGCTGCCTGGCTCGCCGCCGCCTGTGGCTCTAGTGGATGTTGCCTGGGCTGCTCGAGTGCTTCACGTGCGTCGCCTGCCTGCCTGCCCGCCTGCCCGCTTGCCCGCCTTCTGCGACCGCGTCGGAGGCCCGGCGGCCGGGGCTTCCCCTTCTCATCAGGCTCCGTCGCCGGGGCTCCTCGGCTTCTTGGACGCCTTCCGGGCGCAGACGACCCCCTCGGAGCATTCTGTGGCGACGGCCTGACGCAAAATGGCAGCTGCCACGGCGGCGCCTCGCGACGCCATCGACTCACCTGCCTCGGTGCCAGCCTGCCTGCTCAGTCATCCGCAGCCGCAGCGTCACAGGCCAGCAGCACGTACGAGCAGTCGGGTCGCCTTCGTGCCCACCACGGCGCGATCGCAACGGCAACGGCAGGGGTGAGGGGGAAGTCTGTTCGCCAGTCATCCAGTCCAGGCCGCGCCTCGTCCCCTCCAGCTATTGGCCACTGGGGGGCGTCTTCTAGCGCCCTTCTAGTGCCTGCGCCATGGCCGCATCGAGCACCCGGTGGCCCCACCACGCCCACGGGCCTAAGACAAGGCCCTGCGACAGAGGCGACGCGGACGGGCATTGGGTGGGGCCTGTACCAGCTGATGCCCGCCTCCCCACCCCTCGCTATCGCCGACGAGCGGGAGCCACACTTGGCTTGGCTTGGGTCCTCTGCTGACTTCAGGTAGTGCTGCTGGGCTTACCTAGTGGTCGGTGGTTCGTGACCACTGGCCGCCAGTGTCGAGTTCCATGCGGCCGGCGGTGCTGAACCTTCAGCGCGTCCATCCAGACCTGTGTGCAGGCATTCCGGGTCTGAGGTGCTAATAAACGTCCAGGCTCACTTTTCCCCAGAGCCGTTGGAGAGCCAAGCCGAGCCAAGCATCCCAAGCCAAGTCAACCATCCGTTCCGTCTCGCATCTTTGCCGTCAAGGCCGTCCACCTCTCCCTCGGCTTCCACTGTGTGCTGGGGCTGGCTGCTGCTTTGCTCCGCGCCGAGCGCATGCTGGCCCGTTCGATGCTCCCTCCGATCCGGCTACTGTACGCACGATGGGCGTACGGAGCACCGTGTTTTCACTTTCCAGTATCATGTACTCCGTACCACCGTCCAGATTGGCAGGCACCGTCGAGACATGCCCGTGCAACGGCTGACCTCATCCGGTGGTGCCCCTTTGGTTGCCCTTGGCCCTTGGCCCTTGCGACGCCGCTCACCGGTCCAAACCTTGCCTCGCCCTTGTGTTTGTGCTGCGTGCTGTGCTGTGCCGTGCTGTGATGTGCCCCTCGGATCCTCGTGCGGTCTCAGTCGTCGCGCCCTCTGCGCATGCCCGCTGCTGCCGCCCCATCTCATCTCATCTCATCTCATCTGCCATCGGGAAGCATGCTGGGACGGTACAGTACTGTGCTGCACAAATACTCAGTGTACCAGTGGCGTGTAGTGCCCGCCGCCCACTGCCGCTTCCTCCCGAGCCGCGCTGCGCTGCGCTGCGCTGCGCTGCTCTGCTGCTCTTCTGCTCTTCCGCGATGTGACGATGCGTGCCAGGCCGCCTCGTCCCATTCAAAAACGTCATGGCTGTGGCACTGCACGGCCACACCACTGCGGGCCTGCCAGTGCCACCACCACCACCACCACCGTGGACGACGTGGGCGGGCGGCGGAGACAGAACCTCGCCCTTGCCCTCCCCCCCCCTCCCTTGTCAACTGCTCCACCACAACCCGGCCGGGCTTGCAAGGGTGGCCCCATCTGAGTTAGCCCTGCGCCTGCGGCGGACCTGCGAGGCAAGGGCCCCTCCCCGTCTCGATGGGCCCCCTCCCCCCCAGCGTTGTCCCTCTCGGTGCTGAGTGGCGTGCATGACGAAGGTCGCGACTCGTCGCTGGGCCGGGCCAGTACAAGCCCTGCGGCCGCCCCGTGTAGGGCCCACAAGGTACCTTTTTTTTTTCCTGGTGGCGTCCCCCACTGCCGGCCTCCGCCGTCTCCGTCGTCTGCCCTCCAGGGCTGCTCTGTAAGGTAGGTGCAGCAGGTACCTCCAGTACAGGGCAGTACTCGCTGTGCTTGGCCCGGCCCAAGTACACCTCACCGTCCGCCGACCGTGTGTCAGTCACGCAGTCAGTCTTGGTCTTAGTCTTGGGATCCATCAAACCAAACCATACTTCTTGTCTTGCACCTGCCCTCACCTCTTCCTCCCCTTCTCTCGTCATCGCCCGGCCCCATCCACGCAAACCTTATATCTCTTTGGCCGCATCGACGCTCTCGTCTCCTGTCCGACAGCGGCATTGTCGACCCTGCCACCAAGTATACGCAAGAGCGTCACGACCACGACTACGCCGCGCCCGTCTTCCGTCCCCGCCCTCCGGCCCCCGTCGATCACGTCTTCTACTACTCCCCTCTCTCGACGACTCGGCCACTCTTCGACGCGGCTCTGCCCACCCACGGTCGATTCTAGACCCTGCACTCGCGCAGACGCCCCAACGATCGTTGCTCTCCGCCGTCCTGCCCATATTGCGGTTGCCTTTGTTCGTTGAGACAAGTCGTGCGCAGTCCACTTCCAAGCACCGACCGAGCCACGGGAGCTCAACGCTTCTGTCCAGGCCAATACTTCGTATCCCAAGGTTCGACAGTGGAGACGGTCTTCTGCTCTCCTCCTGAGCGCCCGACACTCAAAAACGTCCGTCCCTTTCCGAGAATTCTGTGGCCTCTCGACAACCTCCAGCCACGAACCCTCGAGGAACCCACCTGCATTCCAGTCTCTCTCGTGCCCCTGTTGGGTATTTCGACCGCGCCTTCCGACCGCGATCTCGTCGCAGACACAACACCTCCAACGGCTCCGTGTTGAATGACGACTGTTCCCAAGGACGTCTTCTTGATCACGGGTGGATACTAGAGCCACGATTTACGCCGTTTCTTTGCTCGCTGCCTAGCCGCAGTAGGTCCACGCGACCAAAGACTCTCCTCGTGCGGCTGGAAGCTCTACAAATCACCACCATCTCAACCACGCGGCCCGTCGATACACTGTTGCCTTGGCCATTAATCTCGGTGTCCCATTTTTCGCGATCGGCCCTTGACAAGCGGGCGGACTGTAGGCGGTCGTAGACATGGTCAAACCGAGGATACGGCGCCAATCACCAGTCTATTTCACGCCGAGCCCGCAGCAGGAGTCGCCGCGACTCTCATCTGCCTTTGACGACTTTTACGCGTCTGATGCGCCATATTCTCGACCCTCGAGCGGCCTCTTCGCTTTCTCGGACTGTTCGCTGCCACCGTACGCCATGGCCTCCCGGCCACCCACGTTGACCGAGATCCTTCTCGACACGGCACCTCCGCCGTGGACCCTCAGTGCCTTCATGGCATACCTCTCTCAAAACCACTGCATGGAAACGCTCGAGTTCACGCTCGATTCGCAGCGATACGCCGCTTTCTACGAGCAACTCGGCGCTGAGGTTCCTCCAACGCGCGAAAGCAGCGAGAGGGTTTGCGGTTTCTGGGAAAAGCTAATGCAAGTCTACATTGTCCCTTGCGCTCCTCGCGAGGTCAACATTCCGTCCCGCGTCCGAGACCGACTTCTTAGCCTCCCATATGGACAGTCTCCTCCTCATCCGTCCGAGCTCGACGAGGCCGGGCGGATCATCTACGAACTCATGAACGACTCTCTTCTCGTTCCCTTCCTGCAGTCCGTCGCGCCCATGCAGCTCATGAGCCCCACGGAAGAGCACAACATATCTCCTCGCCGACGCTCACACCACAGCGGGGGTCGCGGAATCGGGCATCATGCATCTTCCTCGTCATCGGCCTCGCCCCGCGCTGTCGACCTCGAGGCGCTGACCGATGATAGCGACAGCAACTCGCCGGGGACGATGGAACCCATGACGCCGCCCACGACCCCACCAACATCCGAGTATACTTTCAATACGTCTCCTGGAGGCTTCCAGCGCGCCGTGGCCGCACACAACAAGGGCTGGAAGAAGGTGGGAGCCAAGTTGGGGTTTAGTCGAAAGGGATCCAGCCGGAGGTCAACGCCCACCTCTTCGAGCTCTTCCAACGCGGATTGCGACTTGCCTGCTGCCGAGACGAGCCACCACGCCCACGGCTTATGAAGGTCAATGCCCGTGCCGAGCCCCGCTGTGTCCTACGGTCTGGGTTCCGATACATTCGGGGCTTCTCGCGGGCACGCCTGCGAGTGGTCAGTGCCACACCCAGGCCGACGAATGTCCTTGCCGCCCATGGTTGTCTGTGGCGAGTCGAGTGTTGGACCAGGCATGCGGGAAAACAGCCTGGCCAAAGGCACGGCCACGAGGTGTGATATATCACGCCCAGTGAATCGCGCGCTCGCCGTCCACAAGATCACTCGTACGAAGCCGTGCGGTCAGAGGTCGCGTTGGACCAGGAGAGCTGGTTCAGTTTATGCGCAGGGCGGGGCCCTTCGACCGCGATTCAAGGATGGCCTGATGCTGGCTACGGGCCCTCGACAAATTCCGACTTTGTCTGACAAGTCGAGTTATCTCGATTCGTGGCCCCAATCAGAGGATGCGGTCGCCTCCACGGGCAGCCTTGATACTCAGTTCTTGCGACACGTCGCGGACGTCGACCAGTACGGCTGGGACGCAGCGTGGGAGTCCAAACTGGTGATGGAAGGACGACAGTGTCCTGATGACGGCAGCTGCTGGTGCTCGCCTCTGCACGCCAGCCAGCCAGGCACGCGAATGAGCAGCCTGCTCCTGCGCCTATTGAGCGGTCGCACAAGCTCCTCCGACTGATGGAGGACCACTGAGCCGGGTGCGTGGCTCGGGATTTAATAGGAATTTGGAGACGATAGGATCACCTGTCGTGGGATTCGTGGTGTCACGACGAGACGCACATGGAAATAGACACGACTGGCGCATTTGACTGAAGCAGGGAGTTTGGGAGTCGTCTTCCTTTTGCGATGGCGGGGTGACGGACATTCCCCGTCGGCACATATTCTTTTCACGAACACAGCTGCATATGCGATACCAAAATTCATTAGAGCGGACATCGCCTAGGAAGGCGAAAGGGGCGCGATTGGGATGCGCATCTATCTGTACATGTATCCACGAGGTGTATGTGCTAGCGATTACAATTTTCTGACCCAACTCTTAACGACATGTTGGATCTCATCACTGTTTCGTTCCATGAAGAACATGTGGCTGTTGCCGTGAATGCCAATGTCCCCGAGCTCAATGTGTCTCGTGTTGGAGCAACCGGCCTGCTCAAGGTATCTAGCGGTGCAGTAGTCGTACGGTGCGTGATAGGAGGCCTCAGAGGTGAGCACGAGGATAGGCTTCTGGGCAAGGTTGACGAGCTGGCGGGGCGGTGGGCTCTCCGCCTGCAAGATGCAATCGGTGCGGTTATTCCCAGAGCTGGGGAATACCTCCTGCTTCAGGTCCGAGGCGGGGTCGTTGACGGCAGGTGAGTAGACCAGCGGGATGTCGGTCAGACCCCATTTTCGGGCGGGCTTGGTGCTGAAGACGGCCTCACGGAAAGGTGGACCAGTAGGCTCAAGTAGGACGAGGCCTTTCGTGAGGGCGGGGCGCGCGTCGGCGATGACAAGAGGCATGAGGCCGCCTTGGCTGTGTCCGATGAGGACGGTGGGCCTGCCGATGCGGTCGAGCAGGGCGGCGCCGGCGGCTTGGACGGCGGTCTGCTGGTAAACGGCGTCCGAAATAAACTGGACGTTGGAGGAGTAGAAGGCGTCAAAGACAGGGTCCCCCATGGAGCCATTTCCTGGCCATTGCGTGTGATGGCCTGCCTGGGGCCAGAGCATGTAGCGGCGGACGGCCGTGAAGCGCTGCTGGATGGTTTCGGCCGAGTACGTGGACGGGCTCGCGGCGCCGTGGCCGGGCTGCCACGCGGAGCGGCCACGGAACGTTTGGTCCACGATGTATACGTCAAAACCTTGTTCGAGGAACCGCGTGGCCCAGCCGCATCCGCCGTCAGGCTTGTCCAAGTAGTTCTTTGTGGTACAACGTCAGCACGAGGGACACAGGGGAACAGCCGCCGGGAAACGGGGCCGGCAGGGAACGGCAGGATCCGTCAGAGTTGAGGCTCGCATACCGTGCCCGTCTGAGCCTGTCCGTGGATCAGGACTAGTGGCGTGTCCTGAGTGACGCCGCCGACGGGCTGCAGCCTCTCGACATACATCTGGTCGCGCAAGACGTGTCCACCGGCGCCATCGTCGGCGTAGCCGCCGCCGACATAGAAGTAGCTGCGTCGGTGCGGGCCCGAGGCGCACAACGGCGAAGCATCTTTGCTGTCCTTATTCCCGTTGAGGCTGGCGTCGAAGTGGCGGGCAACGACCGGGGCTATCGACACTGTTGACAGGGCCGGCGTGGATACTTGGGTTGAGACTGTGCCGTGCGCCAACGAGGCGGCGGCGGCGGCGGCGGCGGCTCGTATTGAGAAGCGCATGATGGCGTGAGCCCGCAGCGGCGCAGAAGGCTTCAATGACTCGACCCAAGTTCAGTCAGGTCATTATCTCATGCTCAAGGGGAGTGAGGGAGGGCATTTCAAAGGACATGGTTCTGCATGCAATATGACAACGTTGCGCGGGGTCCGGCGCAGGAGATGATGAAAAGGAATGAAAGACGCGATTTGGCTGGCGTTTGGCCGTGTTGACAGGGGCGGCGAGGGGGCGCAGTGGAGAAGGGAGGAGGAAGCTCGGGAAGCTGGAGAAGAAGGGGAGGGGCAGGGGGTGTGAGACGAGGGAAGGACGGGATGTTGTTCGAGAAGGCAACTGTCGCGGGTCCGGAGCCGTAGCACAGGTACAGTGCCTGAACGAATGAATGGCGGCCGGCCCAGTGGGCAGGCATCAATGGAAGGCTCCTTCCGTAGGTATAATGTACGTTATGTAGATCCATCGTCCTTGGCAAGCGCCCCAACTGCGATGTGGAAGGAGGCAGGGCCGCGACTTCTGAAGTTCTGACGCTGGCTTCGGATCCCCGTCGTCGGTAGAATAGGGCGCACAATGTTGTCTTTCTCGTACGTAGCCATGCAAGGCAACGCTTGCCCTTCAGTCGCCTCGCCCAAACCATGCCACAGCCACGACGACCACCAACGGCATCGGCAAACTCGCCGAGCCCCGTCTCCGGCCCCTGCAGGCATTGCGACACGGGATCATGGCCAGCGCCGGGTGCTGTCCATCGATGGCGGCGACAACGCCTGGTGTGGAGGTAATGATGGGAAAAGCCATGCCGGCGCCGGCGTCCTTGCGGGCTCGGTGAGCGGTGGGCGTCGCGCGACTCGTCTGCCGAGATTCACCTCCACGCTCCAAGATGACGTTCACATCTTCAACGTCGCTGCGTCACTCGGATCAGGCCGCGATCCAAACGCCTCTGCACCGGCCAGTCCACTGAAGTAATAACCGCCGCCCCATAGGCCGTCCCCTGCGGGCTCCGCCCTCGCCAGAAACACCCAGGCCTCGGGAAATATGCATGGACGATGCGCTGCTGCCGTGCACTTGGTACTGAACGGCACAGAGTTCCTGGGGCCCTCAACATGGCGGAGCCTTGGCCGCCTTGTATCAAGTCAAAACACTTGCAGGGCCATGCTGTTCCCTGCCTGCCGGCTGCGCACGCCGCCTCGACGGCCAAAAGCCGCCTCCCTCTGATCAATCCCCTTGAGCAACAAACTTGGCACCTCAACCGCCCCTTCTATTCCATCTTCTACGACACCCGCCTGCCCGACATGTTGGCAAAGAGGCACGAAGCGGCCCTCGCCCTCCACTGGACCTTTAGCTGCATCTCCATCTTCATCATGGCTGCGCGGCTCGTGTGGCGGAGGAGGGTGAGGCAGAGCTACAACTCGGGCGACTACCTCACCGTGCTGGCAATTTTCCTCGTCCTCGTCCGCCTTGCCTTGGACCACGTCGTCCTGGTATGGGGGACCGCCAACATGCCCCCGGAGTTTCGCGAGGAGCACACGTTCACGTCGGAGGAGATTGACCAGCGCATCATCGGGAGCCAGCTCGACCTCGCCAATAGAATCAACTATAGTACATAGTCAGTGCTTTTCCAACGGCCTCTCACATGGCTTGCTCCTCTGCCACCCTAGCCCGGGCCTGCACAGCATGGCAGGTCGGCCGGCCACCGTACGGACGTGTCGCTAACCGTCTGAAATCCCCTTCACAGTCTCTGGACGCAGAAACTGGTTCTCTTTGACCTTCTCCGTCGACTCATCCAAGACCTGCCATTTCACGATCTCGTCTCCCGAACCTATGTGCTCGCCTTTACCTCGTCCTACATCGCCGTCTTAGTCACCACGCTCGCCGAGTGTAGCCCTATCAAGCTGAACTGGCAGGTCTTCCCTGACCCGGGTGAGTTGCCCTCCACGGCGCCACATAGCGCGCGCGCAAGTTCCTTCCGCACAGGGTGCTATAGTCTGACATTTCGACCTGACTTGCCACCAGGTGACTGCATCGAAGCGCAGCTGTCACTGCTCACGCTCGGCATTCTCAACATCGTGACTGACGTGATGCTTCTCATCCTTCCAATTCCCATCCTCGCCATGTTGAGGGTCTCGTGGCGCCGCAAGGCCCAGCTGTACGGCCTCTTTGCCATAGGCACCCTCATCGTGGTTATCACGGTTGTTCGGCTTCCAATTAACGCCGCTCACAAGCACAGCAACGCCAACCGCTGCGCCTGGCTCAGTGCCGAGTTGTTTACCGTTACTGTTGCCGTTAACGCGCCTGCCTTGTATGGGCTTTGGAATCTCAGCCGGCGGCAAAGGCTGCAGTCGTGTGGGATGAACCAAGGGCACAACATTCCCCGGAATCTCCAGTTAGGCAGTGTGATCACGACTATTGGCGGCACCGAAACATACAAGATGGCCAAGAGGCGCGAACCACCTGGCTGTATTGTTCAGACCACCGAAGTCGTCATCTCGCATGCTCCCGACGGCGAGGCAATGAAAAGCAAAGAGCAATCGCCCTTGTCGGTAATACTAAACGGCGCCTCAAGTCACTCTACTCAGACAGATGCGTGGGACGTATGAGGCCGCCGGCTGAGACCGCATTGAATGCTCTTTCAAACGCATGACTACCGCTTTCTCCCCCAAACTCCGGCTTCACAGCATCCCCCGACTTCCACCATTCGTCAAGATACCCCTCATATAGAATGAGTTACCTCATAGAACTTTCTTGCCAGGCACAGGATATTGCACCGAAGAGTGCGATCGAGGCTCGCACCTCGGGAAATAATAAACGCTCATAGATCACAGTCGAACGCGCATGCATTCACGACCGTACACAGGCGTGCCAAAGTACATGGTGTCGGGTTGCTCATGGCATGACTCAGCTGCGGTAATTGGTCCAGTAACTGTGCATGCGAGTGATCTGCCCCTTGGAGAACTCTGAGTAGCACGCGCTGTATGTCCTGGTCAGCAATGAACCTCACCTCCCATGTCATCGTTTTCGCCCACTTACTCGTCCGAGTAGTCCATGTAGTTGTGGATGGGATCGAGGCCCGGCGCAGGGCAGGAGTCCCGACCGGTAGGGCATCCCCTTGTGGCACTCTTCGACGCCGGGGTGTCATCCACGTAGTCGCCGGGTCCGTCACAACCTGAGGCCTTGGGGTCGTTGCTGTGCGGTTCAAAGGTGTGCAACAGCCCAAACCAGTGGCCGACTTCGTGCGTGGCCGTCTTGCCCAAGTTATACGGGGCTTCGGGGCCACCAGGCACGGTCGAGGCCTTGACGAGGCAGCCGTCAAGGGTCGGCCCATCGGGATCAGACAAAAAGTCTGGGAACGTGCAGATTCCGAAGCCATCGTCCTCGAGGCGGTCGAGGAAGTACAGGTTGAGGGTACTAGAGTCGCCTCGGTGGAGCTTCTTCTTCATAGCCAGCTCGTTGCCGTTGGTGGCCCAGTCCTGGTTCACAGTCCGGGTGGTGTCGCGGAGGGTGAAGGAGATGCCCGCCGAGCCATAGTTGTCATTCAGGACCTTGACCTGCTTCTGTACTATGCTGTCCTACACATCGAGTCAGCTGAAGACGTCCGGTGTCTCTCCGCGTGCTGCTGAGTTACAGGCTCGGGACTCACATCAAGGGAGTTGACACCGCCTTGAGAGGCAGAAACCACGTGAAAGTACAGGTCAACGTTGATGTTGGCGCGCTCAGTGACGCCGTTGAGACGGGCAGCGCTCTCGAGCGAGGCCAGCTTGCGATGAGTCGCAATCTGGCCCCTGGTTGGCGTGCGGACACCGCAGCTAAAGTCTGCCTTGGCCTTGGGGACGGCACCGGCCGCGGCTGACGCCGCAAGGCCTGCAATGAGTGACAGCGTTCCGATGAGCATGATGGGGGGCTGCGTTGGCGGCAGAGAAACAGAACTCTCTCCTTTGAGAGAAGGCTTGAGGTGAAAATATCAGCGTCTCTACACTCTGCGACTGTATCGCTACTTATAAGTCGTCGACTGGACGCAAGATACGATAGACCCGAGATGCCTCGTCCTCCTGCCTCTTGTTCACTCCCTTCCTCCTCAGCCGTTTAGCCATGGTAATGTAGACAGTTTGGTCCCAATGGGGCAGATTCAACAGGAGGCAACTCGTCCACCTTCTCTGCTCGGCCATGGCGCTCCTGCTGGCGGCCAGGATGCCCTCCGCCATGCTATTATCTAGAGGGTCGCCGAACGCCGACCTCGGACCGTCTCCGCCTGCCTTCCCTGTCTGTTCAAGGGCACATGGGCCGTCGACTCTAACGCCTTCCCCCATACTTGGCACGGGACTTGGTAGGTGGTGGAGCCGATGTTGGCTTCGAACTCACGCTTCTTCTCGCTTCAATTGCCGCATTGGCGACACCGCCCGGCTCAACACATGATGTGGTACGCGAGTTCATCGGAGGGCATCCGCTCCCGGTAAGACGCGTATTACAGGAGAGGCAGAAGCTAACGACTCAGTGCCAGATAGGAAACGCGAGGTTCCCCGCGGTCTAACCAACCAAAAGAAGTCTTTCTGGCAGAGCCCCGAGCTGCCGGAGGACTGCCCCCGGCAGATACTGTAGCTCTTTCAACAGAAGTGTGGGGTTTGGCGTCGGCTCTAGAGCAGAAGTGGGTAGACCGACGATGGCTCAGCTTCCGTTACGAGAAGGTGCCACACGCAAGCAGCGAAAAGGTGTCTGTGCGACGAGATGACGAGTAGACGGGGTTTAGGGATAATAGATGAAACTCAATCAGTTCCTGCGCGATCGGGCCTTGGCCGTGGCCAGTCCCCTTGTCCAGACTGTTGTCCCTGATAGGGATTCCCCCCTCCGTCTTTGTGGCGGCGGGGGTGAGGATCCGGCACCGACCCGAAACAAGAAGCCCAGCTTAACGAGCCCACGGCCTCGGGCGCAATGGTCTTCCGCAGTAGGGGAACTGCGGTCTTGGATCATCCCGTGTGGGGCGGGGATCTTCACGGCGATGGCTCTGGCGGGCTGTTCGAGAACGTGGTCGCGATTTACCCGCTGGTTACGTGCTCAGCTTCTGAGGGCGCGGATGACGACTCTGAAGCGGTGAGGGCTCCAAACAGCCAGAGGATGGAGTATCAAGAATCGTTAACTTTCCCGGCTCGGCTAGCGATCGACGCATGCTATGGACTTTCCAATGTTGGAGGCAGTGCAAAAGTATGAGCCCAATATGGTACATGGTAGCTGCGGCGGCATTACGTCTGACACGTGGTTCTGGACACAGCCAGCGATGACTTCAGACAGGCGGAGCCTGTGGTGATCCAGCCGTAAAGTTTTGTCAAAACACCATTTGCCGGGCGCATCCCTTTGCAGCCATTAACCCTACAACGAAGACGAAATCAGCACTACAGAACGCCTGCCAGCCGGGCATAAAATATACAAAAGTCCGGGGCGGGATCAGGTTCGAACAAGGGAGGCACACGCCGACCCTCAGAAATCCATCGACCTCAACCACCTTGACATATCATACGCCGCCAAAGCGCTCAAACCATCCATTGATTCCCGACGCGAAAGTTTATGGCAGCGAGGCCCATTATTCTGTAGGCTTATCGTGTCGTGAATACATGTCCCACTCGAGCGAGCTGGCGAAATCGAGCTTGCCCTGCTCCACCTGCTTGCGTGTGGCCGACAGCATCGGTTGCGGCAAGCCCATGGACTGGAGAAACTTGACGGCTACAGTCACTCAAGCGTCAGTCTCGGCCCATTTATGCCTGCTGCAATGTGGACTCACTCTCGTTCCATTCCAAATTTTGCCGGCGGCTGTCCCAGTGGAGCTCCTCGGCCATGATGTCAATGACCCTGGGCAGGGCTTCCAAGGCTGCCTGGGCGTTGAGAAACGCCAGCCTGGTCCGTCGCGCAAGGACGTCAACGGCGGTCTGGGCGTACTCGTGACGGACGGCATAGCGAATTTCTCCATCCACAAACGGGTACAGCTGCGAGATGCGCTCGCCGCGGGCCGGGAATCGCTGGTTTGTTAGGCTACATAGAGCAGCCACGGACCAGGCTCGGTCACCGTAGCTCTCCGTGAGGTGCTTGGCAACTTCTGTCTCCACGCCGAAATGCTGTATCACGGGGATGAAGAGCGTCTTGCTGAAGCCGTGGGCACCGACCAGACGAACTTTGTGTGTTTGGCATGAGCCGTCCAGTATGGCCCCGTCATCGACCACTTCTGTGCCGCTAACTCGCGGTGCGTTGGCCACGGGACCCGTGGTGAGACGGAACTCGGAGACGGCTGCGTCCACGCAGTCCTCGGCCATCTGGCGATACGTGGTCCACTTTCCACCAGCGCACGTCAACAGCCCCGATGAAGAAATGTGCACAAGGTGATTTCGCACAAGCGACTCGGTGTTCCTGGCCTTGGGGTCTTTGACCAGAGGCCGAATGCCCGACCAAGCCGCCAGGACGTCCCCGCGACGCACGTTGATCTCTGGTGATAGATATTGGCTCACCTCGCCGAGGATCCACTTGATGGACTCCTCGTCCGGCAGCGGATTCGGCGAAATTGGCGACGGCGAGTCCGTCGTGCCGGCTATGGTGTTGCCCTGCCAGGGGAGGAAGAATATCACCCGGCCGTCCGACGTCGAAGGGTCGATGAGCCCCATCTTGGCAGGGCTGTAGTATCCAGGCAAGATGACATGGACACCGCTGGAAGGGGCAACAATCTCCTTGCACGTCTGGTCATCCATCTTCCGAATCGAGTCGGTGAAAGGGCCGGTGCAGTTGACAATGCATTTTGCCCGGACCGTGATGTCGGCTGCAGGTTTTCCATTTTTCACGGCGACGAGGTCCTTGACCCTGGCGCCACAGAGACGGCCAGATTCGTCCTTGAGGAGTCCCGTTACCTCGGCATGGTTGGCAACGGTGGCACCGTAGAGAGCTGCGGTCATGGCTATCGAAACGTTCATGCGAGAATCGTTGTGCGCACCATCGTAGTATACCAGAGCGCCAACGAGGTTGGTCTGCTTCAACATGGGGAAAGCCTCGAGAGCCTTGCTCCGAGTCAGAAAATATGAGCTCTCAATGCCCTCGCTGCCGGCAAGTACATCATAGAACTTGGTGCCCGCCCAGTAATAGGGTGCCTTCCACCAGCGATCCAGGGGGAGCATGATGGGCAGCCACATGCTCAGATGCGGCGCCGTCTGCAGAAAGTACTTGCGCTCCTTGAGAGCCTCGCGCACCAGCTGGTACTGGTTGTAGTCCAGGTTCCAGACGGCCTTTTCGAGGTAGCGGACACCGCCGTGGACGAGCTTGGTGCTCTTGCTGCTCGTGCCACTGCTGAAGTCGTCGCGCTCGACAACCGCCACGCGGAGGCCTCGCGTTGCAGCATCCAGGGCGACGCCGGCCCCGGTAGCCCCGCCGCCGATGACAAGCATGTCGTACTCGGCACCGAGGTCCGGGTCAGCACTCCTGGCGAGGTCGGCGAGCTGCTCGAGGCGCGACTTGACACGGGGGAACTTGGGCATGGTGAAGGACCCATCCGGGCCGTATGTCGGCGGGGGCACGGCAGCGGAGGAGGAGCCTGGGATGTTCCGGGGTCGATACGAGTAGAACAGGGTGCCTCCAGCGACGATGACGGCCGCCCCTGGAAACAGCAGCCGCCGGAGCAGCGGGCGAGATCGAGAAGGCGATGCCATTGCCGGTAGCGCTGCAGCACCGCTCACTTAGACGTGGAGCTCGGTCGGAACGGCAGCGACGACGGAGACTTCTGCTGATGGCCCGGCCTTAACATAGGCGAGCAGCAAGAGACGAATTGAGGCAGCGGCAAGCTCGGGTGGGTGGAAAGGGCGAAGCCGGGGCGTCCTCTGGCAGCCACGGCGAGTTCGGACGAGCAGCGGAGACGGGAGAAGCTATCCGTGTCGAAGCCGCGGCGTCATTGCAGTTTCTCGAAGCCGCGCTCGAGTGCCGAGTTGAATCCGCGCCACGATACGTCGACGAGATCTGTTGTGAACGGCTAAGAGTGATGGGATTGTTGCATTTTCAGAGCAAAGTGGAAGGTTCGAATGAAGACGGGCTATAACGTCATGGGTGGGAGGAGGAATGGGAGGCACCGGGAGGTACTACCGTAGGTAAGGTAGGGTAGGTGGTACGTACTCGTAGATACGCTGCTGCTGCTGTAGGTGGCCCTGTGGGGGCGGGGGGCGCTAACACCTCCACTAACAACTCCCCGCCGGTTCTCTGGCAGATACCTAGGTGGGAGTCGCGCGCAAGAATCCGTCCGTACCTCTAGTAGGTGCGACGGACGGTACGCAGCAGAAGTTGCGATATAACTGCAAGGTAAGTTAGGGCCGCAGCCGAGCTTCGCACAGTAAGGGGTTTAACGTGGAAACACTGGCATAAGCATACAAGTATGAAGCAACACAGCTTTAGCTTATAGTAAGGCGTTTGAATCAAGACGTCTACGGGCGTTACGCCGGGCTTCTTCTGCCGCGCCAGGTCCGGTCCTTGGGACATTGGAAAATACTTGGGCTCGTGGGTATGTGCCTTAGCCCTCGATACATACATGGCGCGGGGCCTGGCCGCGGGGTCATGGCCGCCATAAATCGCGGGCGACTTCCAGTGCAATTGATCATTCGCCCCTTTGCAAATAGGAAGACTCGTTACGCAATGGCACAAGTGCGCTTTCGTACGCAGCGATCCTTACCAGCGCCCGTGGCCGGGCTTGCTTTTTCTTCAGGCGGCGCAAGTCCCTTGGGTACCTATTTGCTTCAACCAACATACAAGTACTGGGTAGGTAGAGGCCACTGCGGCTACCGTGCCAGCCCCCGTCTGCGCAGCAAAATAGGTGGGGCCGGCCGGCCGTAGGGTTTTGGGCGACAAGAGAAAAAAAAAATCCGCCGGCCGTGAAATGGGCAGCGAGGTTAAATCCCTCCAAAAGCCATCTCGGGCGTGTTCTTCGCCAACGCTGGGCACCAACATCGTTCGAGGAACAGAGCAGTCGATTTGACGCCGGAGATTCCTCGACTCCCACTCCCACTCCCACTCCCACTCCCACCAGGCATAAGCCCAATTCACTCGGCAGGCCTGGGACGACCTGCACCCCCTGGACCCCTCCCCCACCGACCGACCGACCGACCGACCGACCATGGGCGACCTCCGGGTTCTTCTGATAGGCAATGGCGGCCGCGAGCACGCTCTCGCCTGGAAACTCAGCCAGTCTCCTCGGGTCGAGTTGATATACGCCGTGCCGGGCAATGGGGGCACCGCGACGTGCCCAAAGGTGACCAACGTTGCTTCGGTTGCCGCCGACGACTACCCCGGCTTGGTTGCGTTCGCCGAGGGTAACGGAGTCAATCTCGTTGTGCCGGGGCCCGAAGCACCCCTCGTAGATGGAGTGGAAGGATTCTTCAGAAAAGCCGGCATTCCGTGTTTTGGGCCGTCGAAAGAGGCCGCGCGCTTGGAAGGCAGCAAGACCTATTCCAAGGATTTCATGAATAAGTACAGCATCCCGACGGCCGCCTACCAAAACTTCTCCGATTACACACAGGCTGTCGCGTATGTCGAGAGCGTCAAGCATGACATCGTCATCAAAGCCACCGGTCTCGCCGCGGGCAAGGGCGTCATCCTCCCGCAGACCAAGGAGGAAGCCAAGGACGCGCTGAAGCAGATCATGGTGGACCGGGCCTTTGGTGATGCTGGCGGCGAGGTGGTCATTGAGGAGCTTCTGCTCGGCGACGAGCTTAGCGTTCTCACCTTCTGCGACGGATACACGTTCAAGTCGCTGCCATTGGCGCAGGACCACAAGCGCATCTTCGACGGAGACCAAGGCCCCAACACGGGCGGCATGGGATGTTACGCGCCTACCAACATTGCCACCAAGGAGCTCACGGACAAGATCGACAAGGAGATTCTCGAGCCCACGATATCCGGCATGCGTCGCGAACGGCAGCCATTCCGCGGCGTCTTGTTCACCGGCCTGATGATCACGAGCTCCGGCCCCAAGGTGCTCGAGTACAACGTGCGATTCGGCGACCCCGAGACCCAGACTGTCCTACCGCTGCTTTCGGCAGACACGGACCTCGCAGACATCATGCTTGCTTGCGCCGAAGGGTACCTCGACGACTGCTATCTGAAGGTCGAGAACAAGTTCAGCGCCACCGTCGTCCTGGCCGCCGCTGGCTATCCGGGGTCGTACGCAAAGGGCACGCCGATGAAGGTCCGGGATCCGCAGGCAGGCAGCACAATATTCCATGCCGGGACCAAGGTAGAGGACAGCCAGCTGAAGACTTCGGGTGGGCGCGTCATTGCCATCAACTCGGTGGGAGACTCCCTCAAAGCCGCCGTGGATGCCTCCTATGCCGCTCTGTCGTCGGGTGTCATCCAGTTCGATGGCATGTTCTTCAGAAAGGACATAGCCCACCGAGCGTTCAGGTCGCCCAGCAAAGAGGCCATGACGTATGCGCAGGCCGGCGTCGACATTCAGGCCGGGAATGATTTCGTCGAGAAGATCAAAAAGGCAGTGGCCAGCACCAAGCGCCCCGGCGCGGACGCCGAAATTGGTGGCTTCGGCGGCGAGATCGACCTGTCTCATTGCGGCTTCCCGGGCGCACCCGTTCTCGTGGGCGCCATCGATGGTGTTGGAACGAAGCTCATGATTGCCCAGACCATGAAGAAGCACGACACGGTTGGCATTGATCTGGTGGCCATGAATGTCAACGATCTAATCGTTCAGGGCGCCACACCCCTCATGTTCCTCGACTACTACGGCTGCAGCAAGCTTGACTTGGCCTCCGCCGCCTCGTTTGTCGAGGGCGTCGCTGATGGCTGTCGCCAAGCCGGATGCGCCCTGGTCGGGGGTGAGACGGCCGAAATGCCGGGCATGTACCAGGGTGAGGACTACGATGCTGCGGGTTGTGCCGTTGGTGCAGTCTCGCCGTCGAGCAGGCTGCCAAAGCAGGCTGCCATGGGGGAGGGCGATGTCTTGTTGGGGCTGGGATCGCATGGCGTCCACTCCAACGGCTTCTCGCTCGTCCGCAGGATTGTGCAGCACGCCGGCCTCGAGTACGGCTCCGTGGCTCCGTGGGACGCATCGAGGACGGTCGGCGAGTCCCTGCTGACTCCCACTCGCATCTACGTCAAGAGTCTCTTGCCCGTCCTGGACCAGATCAAGGGCCTCGCGCACATCACGGGCGGCGGCCTCACAGAGAACGTCCCGCGCATGCTTCCGGAATCGCTTGCAGCGGAGATTGAGTTTGGCGCCTGGGAGATCCCTCCTGTCTTCGGTTGGCTCAAGGCCAACGGCAACGTCGCGCCGGCAGAGATGTGCCGGACCTTCAACGCGGGCGTGGGCATGGTGATTGCCGTCGAGGCGTCCAAAGCCGATGCCGTGGCCCGGGCCCTGAGCGAGTCGGAAAAGGTGTTCAAGATTGGACGGCTTGTCCGTCGCGCCGGGGGTGAGGAGGGCTGCGTAATCCGGCAGCTGGAGTCTTGGGTATGAGCATTAGCTGGTTATTAGTGCGCGCAAAATAGACGGAGAAGGGCAGGGCCACGCGGCGAGAGCCGGCCGGGCAGGCACTTCCTCACCCGCAGGGGGCGAGGGGTTATCTGGTGTGGCTGGGTAAGACGGTCACGATGTGCGTAGATGGCACGACGGTACTACAATAAGTTGCATTATGTCTAATGTCGACGAGAGCGGGTTAGCTACCTCGCCGGCGCTATATATGTGACTTTTGAACCGCGATTGAATAGCCAAACCTGAATGAATCAAATGAAAAAGCATATCAAAAGATTCTTTGCTGTTGCTCTCTCGAATTCTATATTGGCTTAATTCAAGGCTTCGGCATTCGCTCGCTGCGTTCTTTCAAGGACGACGAGTTGACAACACCGACCTGATCGGCAACGTACGGCAATCCCGTCGCCTCAAACCCCATCGGCGGCCTGGCGCAGCTCCTCGGCGACACGGGCCATGTAGAAGCGCCTCGTCTCCACAGGCAACTGCTGGAAGCTCTTGGCCATCCGCGCCACGTCCAATCTTGCTTTCTCGTACGCCGCCAGATCCCGGTTGCCGTACACGTCCCTGCCAGCGGCGTATCCGCTCTCGAGGTCGCGGAAGAAAGTGTTGACTGCCACGCTCATCTTGGATAACGGTGTCGCAGTATGGAGCCACAGCGCCGGAATAAACAGTACGTCTCCAGGTCCAAGATGTGCTTCGTATGGATGGGTTCCTGCCAGGTTGCATGGGTCCGCCTTCCGCGTCGTTGCGTCGAGGGCGGCGAAGACGTCGACGCTTGAGCTGGATGCCCCCGGCGCAAACGAGAGGCGCGTCACATCGCTTGGCGGGAAGAGAATCATGCGCTTTTCTCCCGAAATTTGCGTGTATACGTTCGCCATGACCTGCATCCCCATCAGCTGTCCGGCCCACCACGGATTCTTCCACTCTCAACCGCCAACGTGGATGAGCTTACATCGTAGTGGAGCCACATGTTAACCCTGCCCGAGACTCTAAGGACTGAGCTGAAGAGGTTCTTGCGGATGTGACCCAGCTCTGGCGGCAAACAAAAGTCTTTTGCCAGGCGCGGGAAGTCGTTTTCAAGAATCGTCGGCACCCCTGACGGCTTGTCGCGGGACAGCGATCGCAGATACATTCGAGCCCCTGATTGCATCTTATTTATAATCTTCCCAAAGGAGTCACTGACGTACTCAAAGTTCTTCGAGTTGAAGTCCATCCTCTCCGAGTCTCTGTGGCACTGATGTACGACAACCTGCTCCATCAGTCAGCCTCGCCCAGGCTTCTGCCCCTCCCAAAACAACCACTCACCTCGGTATCGTCGCCTACCTTCTCCACCATGTACTGCGGCGTCCATTTCTCCACACATGCTCCCAAGTTGAGGCCCTCGAGGATGACAGGTTTTGCATCGAGGAGAACTTCGTCAAACGTGGCGTCTTCAGGTCCCAGCCTTATTCGCGGTACTTGAGTAATGGTCACATCCTCGCCGTGCGTCTTGGCAGGGTCGCTGGGGCCGCCTGTGCTCACGACTCTGCGGGTCTCAGAATACTCGATGGCGGGTTTCCCGTGGTTTATCGAATGCTCGTCGCTTTCGGCGCCCGGTATTTTGATACTGTAAACGCCAGCTTCCCAAAAGGTCCCCATAGAGAAGCACGTCGCTCCGCCACCGACAAGGAGGACGCCGGTGGAAGACGTCACAGCGCCACATCCAACCATGAAAGGCACTGCCATGGGCTTGTCCTTTGGTCGGAGGACCTTTGCGATACGCTTCCCGTCAGCCTGCCTCCTGATGAGGACGAGCTCTCGGCCCAGAAATGACGTCTCGTGACCCAAACCGCCGCAGAGCAGCCAGTCTGGGCCAATATCCACGCATTTCGCGCCAAACAGAGCCCATGCTCCTCCGACTTGTCGAGACTCAGGGAGAACATTGAATTCAATAGTCGGCTGTGTCTCTGTCAGCGGATCAAGCGAAGGGTCATGTTGAGAAACCGTGAGTCAGGACGTACTCGCTCTTCAAGGACGCTGAGACGCCATGAGTACTCTTCAGTGCAGATGCAGCCGTCCTCACCAATGCCTCCAGCAAGCACACCATGAAATTCTCCATCCTGAGCCTCATCCGGAGAAGTGTCGTACAACACGGCCCCAAAAGCCGCTGGGCGGTTGGCTCCACGGACATGGCACCGCATCCAGCCTCTTTCGGGACAGAAAACGTAGCACTCGCTTGAGACTGTCCAAGCGCCCGTTTTGCCACCCATCACTAGCGCGAGAGACGATCCCTTCAACCTAATGGCCGAGTGCCTATACAAGGGGGCTGGAAGTCGCCAGGTCATCTGCCAGGAGGGTTTTGCCCCTTTCTGGAATAACCAGCAGTCCGAGAGGGCGCTTCCTGGAGACGTTCTCCCCCCAGCCAGAAGGATGCCAAAGTTGCCGAGGTCCGTTATTGTGAAGCACATCCTGGAAGGAGGCCCCATGAGCGGCAATCGCGGCGGTTCATCGTGCCCAGAGAGCGAATAAATGTCCCAGCTATCGGACCGGCCGTTACTTCCGAGGCCACCCATGTGAAGCAAGGATTGCCGGCCGCGGCTGTCTGAGACAACAAAGGCCTCCCCATAGCGCCGCTTGGGGGCTGTGCTGTTATGTGTTGCAACGTTGACGTCGAGGCGCTCGGGGCGCTCGGAATATGGCGTCTGGGGTGAACGGCCTCCAGCAGCAACAGTTCCGGGGCGTTCCACGACAACTCCGGGGCCGACGGCGTGAACAATGAAATAGTGCCGCGCGAATAAGATGAACTCCTCCCATTCATCAAACGGCTCCACCTGGTCAAGTGCAGACCGTTCGTCGCCAGTCACGAAGTAGTCATTAGACCACACTTGCCAAAGGTCCCATATGGCAACATCGGCCCAACCTCGCTCGAGAAAGCGACTTTGCTGGCTGTCCAGGGTCGGATATTGTCGGACTGACCTCGGTGGAGTTTGGAGCTTGTCGAAATGGCTTAACATTGTTTTGGCAAAGGGATGATCCGGTCCATGTGGCAGAATTTGTTCCAGGAGACAGAATTCGGCTTCACTTGTCAGCTTGCCCACCACGAAATCTTCGGTCTTTTATGAGTGGCTTTCAAAATGGTCTCACCTTTTCCAACTGTGCTTGCCCACTGGAGGAGCGAGTCGGCCGACGCGGTGTCCATGTAGGTGACGGACACTTCGGCTACAAAGAGGACGTCACAGTCGTCGAGCGACAGGAAGGTCTCCAGTGTTGCACGCAGTCTCTGGAGCTGTCGAAGGTCGCAGCCTATTTGACAGTACCGTTCGCTGCGCAAGAGAATGTCGCTCTCGCCGACAATAAAGTCTTGTCCGAGTAGCTCCTTCAGCTCGGGCGTCTCCAATACAATGGCGCGCTTCTTGTGCATGAGATCCGGATAGTCAATGTCTATGAATAGGACCTGGTCGCATGCTGAGCTATGACGGGCATGACACTGCCAAGGCAGCACATCGCTAGACGGGGATGCCACGTTAGAGAGCCGCCGCAGTCTCCCGACAAGACAGCAAGCGGCATGTACGAGCTGTCACGGCTCCTGAGTCACACATACCTTCCACAGCCGAGATTGATCACAAGCTTCTTGCGGCCCGACGGGCGTGTGAGGAACTGGCGGACCACAACATCGATGGCTCGCAGTCTCAGCCAGTAGCCGCGGTTGATGAGCGGCGCCCTCCTCTGGAACTTCTTGACGAAGTAGCGAAAGAAGTGCGTCTCGTCGGGGTAGTACAAACGTTCGACGCTCCTTTTGGAGACGATGCTGCTGCTGTTTGTCTTGAACAGCGCAGTCCGGTCCCGTCAGCGCATGGGCTAGGCAGGCCATTGTTGCGGCGGCTTGTCGATCGATGAGGGACGGTAGGGACTCACCCCCATGATCAAGTCATCCAGTGCCTGTGACCGGCCATGGGCCGGCGTTGCTGGTGTCGCCATGACAGCCTCCCTTGAGGTCGAACGATGAGTAGGTGGTTGGTCTGGGCGGCAAATGCAGCGTTGTCGGAGACCACGACTGGGAACGTACACGCTGGTAAAGTCGCGTGGTCGTGGCCGCTACCTAGTAGGTAGGTATGGTTTTTTTTTTCTGGGTCGTGGTGGTGTGCCTCGACGAGATTAGGTACCATAGATAATAACGAACCCTCCTTTCACGGCACTCGTCCCATTTATCGGACAGGCACTTAGTACTACAGGCAAGGTTCCTCCTCAGCTCGAGACGCCGCGCCATAGACGCAGGTTCCAAGCGAAAACTACAGAGGGCTTCAAGCCGATCGCAGGCTTGGCTGTGTCCCGTCCCTGACGAATGGTGTTGGCCAAGGGTAACTGTACAGGGTAGGTAGGAAGAAGGCCCTGTCCCCAACTGCGCAAGTGCAGAGTCCTGGTACGTACCCCGCGGTCAGTGACGAGGCCTGCGGATGGCCGGCTCAGGTGGTGTCGGGCGGCCCGAGCTACCCAGGTGGAGGGGGAGCCAGCCGCCTGCCTTCAGGTTCCGCTCCCTGCCTGGGAACCTACCTAAGGTCCATGCCTCCTACCTTACCTACCTAGGTACTAACGCAAAGTACCTGTACTTCGCACATGAAGCCCTGGGGCACCCATAATCTGTCTCTTATACACATCTAGATGTGTATAAGAGACAGGGATCAACGAGGTATCTTGGACCCACTTTTGCCAGGCAGCGCAACGCTTTCCCTTCCACGCAACGCTTTCCCTTCCACGCAACGCTTTCCCTTCCACGCAACGCTCATTCAATCACGCGTACTCTCTCAGCACCCTCGCGAGACTAGCGACCCCCCCCCCCCCCCCCCCCCCCCCCTCTTCGAAAACCCCGCCTGCAGGCAGTGACGAACCTGCCTCCACACGAGCTTCGGAAGGTAACGAGACCGACCGGGTTAGTTCCCACCTTACCACCAACCTCATCCATCGTCCAGCAATTCCCAGCCAGGACAGCGCCTGCCTCTCCCTCCTGCCATATCGACCTCGCCCTCAGCGTGCGCCCATTCGCGCATCGTCTCACGCCTTCAGACGTCACTCGCCCAGCAAGCGTCCAGCAGTTCGCCCCTTCGCTTGTCGTCGTGTCGGCAAGGCCGTATTGTTTGTGCGCCGCCCCCGCGTGCGCCCCGACCTCACCGACAACCTCTCCGCCGAACTTGCGTCCACCCCTGACCCCGGGCTCCTCAACTGCGCGCAGAGCCTCGTGCGAGTGCGCTGGCTTCCTGCTCTGCATCGCGAGCACCGAAGGCGACTCTTGGCGTCGTCTTGTCCGCAGAAGTCGTGCTCCGCAATCACGCGGTCAACGGCCGGGTTCGAGCCCAACGAGCTTGTGTCCTCCAGCCTCCGCGCGCTGGAGGGCGCCTGGTCAAAGATGGCGAGCCCTACATTGAATTTCATTACCTTCAACCAGGACCACAGCTGTCTTGCTGTCGGTAAGCGCCCTGTGACCTATGCTGTCAGCGCAAGCATCTCACTGACTCTCCATCGCCCGCAGGCACCTCGAAAGGCTTTCGCATCTACCATACAGACCCCTTCTCTAGGATATTCACCAGCGATGACGGAAATATTGCCATCATAGAAATGCTCTTCTCAACTTCCCTGGTCGCCCTGATCCTGTCTCCACGTCACTTGATCATACAAAACACAAAGGTATGCCTAGTCCGCGCCTCTGCCCGCCAGCTCGCATCGTGACTAACCCTTGGCTCATGTAGAGAGCCTCTGTTATCTGCGAACTTACTTTTCCGTCTGCGGTCCTCGCCGTCCGCTTGAACCGGAAGCGCCTCGCTGTCGTTCTCGAGGAAGAGATATACCTGTACGACATCAGTAACATGAGCCTGCTATACACCATTCCCACCTCTCCGAACCCCTCAGCGATCTGCGCCCTCTCGCCGTCCTCGGAGAATTGCTTTATTGCATACCCACTCCCAAAGCCCCGCGAGGACTCGGACAACAGGCGTCCATCACATGCTCCTCCACAGTCGACTTACGTGGCCCCCACCTCGGGAGAAGTCCTGGTATTCGACACCCTAACACTCAAGGCCGTCAACGTCATAGAGGCTCATCGATCTCCCCTATGCTGCATCTGTCTCAACAGCGACGGCACCCTGCTTGCGACGGCTAGCGAGACGGGTACAATCATACGAGTCTTCTCGGTCCCGCGCGGCCAGAAGTTGTACCAGTTCAGGCGTGGGACATATCCATCGACTATCTACAGCATGTCCTTTAACCTCAGTTCCACTCTCCTCTGTGTCTCCTCCACATCAGACACAGTACACATATTCAGGCTAGGCCCACCCCCTGGCAACACAACGCCCGCTGGAGCACCAATTGAACCCCCAGGTTCTCCGAGGCAAGATCGCTGGTCACGCGCCCGGAGCTATGAAGATGCCGACTCTCCAGGCAACAGCGCTGCCGAGTCTCCACGAAGTGACGCTGCGGAGCTCTCGGCGGCGAACACACCCACAGGCGCCAACAAGCAGGGCCACCGGAGACAGAGCGGATCGTTTAGCAACATGCTTCGGCGGTCGTCGCAGATCATGGGCCGCGGCGTCGCCGGGGTAGTTGGTTCCTATCTCCCATCGTCAGTGACCGAGATGTGGGAACCACTGAGGGACTTTGCCTACATCAAGATACCCAAATCGGCAGCATCCGGTGCCCAAGCTCGAACGGCTGGAACCACCCCGGCAGGCCCCCTTCGCAGCGTCGTGGCGATGAGCAGCAACAGCCCCCAGGTGATGGTAGTCACGAGCGACGGCGGGTTCTACGTCTACAACATTGACATGGAGAACGGTGGAGAAGGCTATTTGGTGAAACAATTCTCGTAAGTCGATGCCTCTCACGTACTCGGCGGGCTCCGGTCCAGTTACTAATCTCCACCAACACGAACAGGGTGTTGGAAGGGGACGATAAGAATGACATCTCAGCCTACGGGGCGTAGATGAGGAGGCCGTTATTGTTGGCTGGACCAGACGGCCGAGCCGGTCCCCCAGCTCCGTCTGGCGGGGCTCAAGACGCGCGTGGATGGGTCGGTTGAGCACGGGTGCTTGTAAATCGGTTTGCAGCGTGCTGATTCTCGAGCCCCCGCAACACTTTGCGTGGAGGCCGAGCGCTCCCTTTCCATGCCATAATATTCTCTTCGTGTTCCTAGCGCTTGCCAATTCCGCGTCGCCTCCCCGTCGCGGCGTGGAAGCGGCAACCGACCGCTGGGCAGCGAAGTGCCGCGGGCGTGCTTGCACAGGATGACACTGCAAATTGCAATCAAATACGAAACCGTGCCGGGGTATCCAAGTTGTCACCTAGTCTGCGTTATAACGCATGCATCGTCATGCTCACTAGACCTCGAAGCCCTCATTTGCCAGGTCGGGCCAGACCCCGACAACCCTATCCAAGCGGGTTATCGTCCGCCAGCCGGATGAAACCATCAACGACCTGCCATCCTTGCTCGTAAAACCGTAAACGCAATCATAAGATATCTTCCGTATCCCGTACGCTCTTCGCGGCCCGTCCGCAAAGTCCATCAATAAATACACCGCTCCATGGTCGAGTGGTACAATGAAGCAGGCCGGCGCAATTTCATAAGTCATACCTCTGTTTCCGACCCGTAGGCAAGGCGTAGTCGCGTCGTCGTTTTGCAAAACCAAGGCATCCAGCATTACTCAAGCGCATGGAGAATTCTAACAAGACAAGGGTTCGACGCGGCCCCTGCCAATCATCTGGAGTAGGGGCGATTCATGAGGGCGATCTGTCGTGTGATTTCTCCCCATTCGAGTTCTCTCTCCATCGAAGCCCCAGCATCGCCGTTCTGCTGCAGCCATTCTTCCCATTGCAAGAGCTCGTAAGCAAAGCGCAAGTGCGGTTGGATGATGACGTTGAGCCTCCGGGCTCTAACAAAGCAGTACGCTCGGGGGAACGTCATGTTCATTGTTTTCATGACCTCGGCAATGCAGATTGTGGCGCTTCGAGAAACTCCCACTCGACAATGGACCAACGTGGCAGTGCCGTTCCGTTTCCCTCGCTCTGAAAGCGGGCATTGTTAGAAGGATCACAGCGAGGTCGTGATCATGACTCACCGATAAACTCCAGACACCGAGCAAACTCATCTGTCAGTGGATCAATCCCGTTGTCCTGGACACCTTGAACCAGGCAGACGTTATCCGAGCCCCAGGCGTCCATATCTCCGTCTTTCCAGGCGGCTGTCTCTCCAACACTCAAGATTTGTCCAATGCCCATTGCTCTTAGCAGGTCCGGGTTGTTGGCGTGGCCGATGTTTCCGAGGTAGAGGTAGTCCAAGACTCTGCTGGGAAACGAGCCATCGAGCCCGGCGAACCACGCGGGCTCATCTTTGACAGCTTTCGTAATTTCCTGGAGGCTCTTCCCTGCGCATGCTGGAGAGTTGCTTAGCAATCGCGGCGCGATTGCCGTCAACAGGGCCACATCGGTAGGGTATGCAAAGAAATTACGATGCTTTGATGTATGAAGATGAAGCCATGCGTCAGGTACGGGGCGACCGGTGCTGTAGCTGAAGTACGCGATGCCTAGCATGGACGACTCTGTGTAGCCGTCAGCGCAATGTATCAGTATCTTGCGCGGCCTTGGCGACACCTGATCAACAGCCATGGAGCTATCGCCTTCGTGATCCACACGCGAGGCAGTAGCCAGGCTGGGGCAGGTGCCATGGGAAAGACGGTATATCCAGCGACAGGTTTCCAGTACACCGTCGGCTTCTTCGTGAGACCAAGTCGGCGGTAGAATGCTGCCCGATGAGGGAAAGTCGAGGAAAGCTTGCGCAACTGTTTCATCCAAGCTCTCAGCGATCAGTTGCAACGCCATCGGATTAAGGCGACCAAGGTCGCTACATTCAATCAAAATGTCGAAATTCTGCTCTTCAGCACTGCCAGGTTCCGGTGTCGGCCCCATGAATACGTTGTGGGATATCTCGGAGGCTTCGGTCATGTCCCACATCTCCCTCCGTTCCTGTTGAACGAAGTCAAGCACTTTCCCCGTGATACGTCCAGTCGAATCAATAGCGACGAGGTTGCTATGGTCCCTTTCAAAGTCCTCTAGTGTACTTGTGCACACAAAAGTATTGTATTCGGCCAGGGCCTTACTTTCAGATGCATGGATTTGGCGCCACCGAGACCTCGCGGCTGCGATGTCCCAGGCCAGTGCGCGCGCCTTTGCGATGTCGTCATCGTAAACCACAATGTCTGAGGTAAGGGCGACCTTGGCTGGTTGGATCTGGAAATTACGGACGGAGAAGCCGTCAACAGGGTCGGGGTCGATGAAGTCGGGGCAAGGCCGTTGGCGCATGAACTCGTCTGCCGCAATTGCACCCCTGAGACGCCCTACCGACAAGTCGCCATCTGCTTTGACCAGTGTAACACTTCTGAGGCAGGATGGTGTCTTTCTCGGGGAGCGTCGTCTGCCCATGAAGAAGGCTTGCTGCATCTGGTTGTTTGGATGGAGACCGTGCAGCCATGGGAAAACCAGCGATGATGGAGGCATGGGCTGGCGGGCGGAATAGTCGAGTGCGAGGACAACCTGATCAGCATCAAGCTCATATATGGAAAGCTGTCCGCTCTCGACGCGCTTATAGCCCTCTGGAGGATATAGCAGCGAGCTCTGCTGGTAATCGTCGGCGCTCGTGGGAGAAGCAGGGGGGGTCGTATTTATGTCGTCGGCTTTGGATGGACCAGTCGGGCAGATGGGAATGTGTTTGTTGGGTAAGGGAGCTGGAGTGGCACATTGTTGCTGTGCTGAGTGCGATCGGCCCACGTCTTGAAGCGTATGCGGCGGCGTGATGGGACTTGTGAGATCCGGTGCGGCACTGTGATGTGGAATCGGCCGAGGCAATGCAATGGTAGCCATGGTCAATGGCGCGTGCCGAGTTGAGCAGCTGTGGAACTCAGGCAGTTGGTGATCGCTCTGGGAGGACACGCCAATGCATCGGGTGATGGCCTCTTGCCGTCTCCTACAGAAGACTGCGTGGGAGTTGCCGCCGGGATCAGAACCCGTCGATTGTCAGTGCCGGGCGGGTCTATGCAGACAAGAAAGGGGTTAGACAATTGCCTCGGGTCCATTGACAGGAACTGGAGCGCCAAAAACCAACGTACGTGTCTCCCCCGGCGAGTCTGGAAGCCTTCCTCGAGACTCGGTGCTCCAAGCGGTGGAGATGACAAGACAGGTAGGGATCGCAGGCGGACGGGCAGACTGTCGAAGGTGCAGGAAGATAAAAACAAGATAAGGGAATGGAGCAACAAATCCAGAGAGTACACGCCGAGATTAATTGTACAGCTAGGTATGGGAAGACAGGAGAGCCATTCGCGACGCAGGCGAACCGTAACAAAAGTGCTGCTGGTGGAGTTGGCGCAGGCGACGAGGACTCACCGCGTGCTGTAGCGGCTGCGCAGCGGACGGCAAGGCGACGTTGAGCATGCGATGATGGCACGGCGCTGTCAAACTGCAGCAATCGTGCAGCCAAGGGTGTTGTTGATGATTGACGCCTGCCTTTCAGCGTGGTGAGGCAGGCCAGACAGGGTGTCGGACGACAGTCGAGAGTCGAGACGAGAGCGGCGCGGCGCGGCGGCAACAGTGGGGAGGGCGGGGGTGGGCCAGGGAGGGGAAGTACACCTCGTGGCCAGCGTCAACGCAAAAGAAGGAGAAGGACGAGGAGGAGGAGGAGCCGATTGTCTGCTGCTTTGGCTCAAAACGGCTGCAACACCTCGAGGATGGTGGAAGGAAGAAAAGGTAGGTAGGTGGGTGAGGGGAGGGGAGGGGAGGACAAGACGGTTACAGAGAATGGCGTATCAGCAGGTAGCAGAACGCTCTCATGTACCTGGGCAGATGAGTGAGAGGGTGTGCGTGAGAGTGAAGGAGAGCGTTTGGTACCTTAGGGCCGCGCCTGGCTCGCTGCGGCAGGGCAGGTGTGTCAAATACCTACGAGTAAGGTACCTAGGTAAGTCGGATCAGGTCCGGCCAGGTCACGCACAGCAGTGGTCGCCACCAGGCACTGCACCGGGCAAATGCCTTAAGGTGTCCACTGGCCTTATCCATGGAAGCCAACGTAGGGAAGTACCTTATTGCCCGAACTGACGCTCGTCAGTCGATGGCATTGGATTGGGCGAAGCCAGCCAGGGAAGGGGGGATGGGGGGGACAGCATCGCGGCCGTGGCAATCCCTCACACACTTGGCGGCACACCTCGTCCGACGTCCAGCCAGGTCCAGATTGGATTGGATGGGCGCGTGTGGTGAGGTGGCGGGACGCTGGCCTTGTCTCACCACAGCCGTTTGTTGATTTCCCTGCCTTTTGCCCTGGAAAGGTTCATTTTACAGCGAGCAGGAAACACGCCCGGTAGCTACATACTGCACCCCGCCTAGGTAGAGCAGGTACCTACATGTCGTCTGTGCCGTACCTACCTAGTAGGTGCCTACCGTGCTCGACTCCTTGGGTTGTTCCTGGCGGGTCGCTGCTCTCCTCGTCCGCTGCTGCCGCCGCGCCAAAGGCGTGTGTACTCGCAGGTAAGCCATTGACAGGAGTAGTGCCTGCCAACAGCGTCGGACAACAGACGGCTGGGTCGGCGGATCACGATGATAAGGGCGGGATGGAGGGATCTCGCTGTTGGCTGGGGCCATCATGGGTGGAACCAGGGTCAGTTAGGTTGGCGCTTGACGCTAGTGGCGGGGGCGGCTGGGCCCCCACCAGGGACTCGTCGAGGTGCCGGTGCGGCGGCCACCCACTCATCCACTGTGCCAGTCAAGCCAGTGCACTCCACTCCTCTGTACTCGTTAGCGCTGCATCGCGCTGCAGCACGGCGCATACTTTGGACGCAGTTGGCAGCCTCTGGGAACTGAGGCGGTGCCCCAGCACTGGTGGAATGGCAGGTGCCTTAACCCTTGAGCAACACTCTGCCCTGTCGTCCAGTCAGCCATCCAGTCCCCCATCCCCCCTTCCCAATAGCGCACCCCGAGGGCGGGGTAAGGGTTGCTGGGCGAGATGAGGCGACGCAGACGGCGACGACGACGTGATCTTAACTGCCCAAGTGTCCAGAATTTCCACCTTGGAGTTACGTACCCAGGAGGTTACTGTAGGTAGGAGAAACCGGCGGCGCTCTCGACTTGCAGGCCCAGCAGAAGTGGAGGGTACACTGAGGTGGCTGTAAAGGAGTTGGACTGCCGACCCGTTGGGCAGATACGAGTAGCATCTTTTTCCAGGCTACCAGTACGAACCGTACGTTTCGGCCTCAGCCTGGGTACTCGTGCACAGCCAGTGTACTACCTAGTATGTATGTACCTACCAGGGCAATTTGCTTGCTTCGGAACCGAAAAGCTACTGCAGCTGACGTCGCAGGGAACTGCTCAACGTCGAGACCACTGCCCGCACCCCGAGTCGACGCTTCTCTTCGCATCAAGCCCGCGGGAGAGCGGGCTCGGTTCGCATAGGTCAACCAACTCTGCAAAGAGGCGCCGAGCTGTGGCCAAAGGTCAGTTGGTGTGCGTGAGGGATGGTGGGCTGCGAGCCGGTGCTCCCCCGCCCCCAGCCCCAGGTGGGCTGGGATCTGCAACCGGAGAAGCATATCTTGTCACACAGGGGGTCGATATCTGTGACAGTCCGTGGTGAATCCCGTACTGATGCCGCACTGGGGCTGGTCCCTGCAAAGCGGCTGCGGCTGGCGGCTCCCCAATGCATTTGTTTCCCAGTCACAATGCTCAAGTCGAGGCATTCTGCCGTCACCAGCTGTGACGCCCTGACCCCGGGGACCCTCATGGCTCGCGAGCCTCGTTCCTGTGCACAAAGACTTCGTGTAACACTACGGCATGCACTGTGTGGTAAGTGGTGCGCACAGTTCATGGCGGGTCGCACCGCCGCAACGTCTGCGCCTTCGACCGTAGAGAATGCTGTTCGTACATGCACGTTGGGTCGGGCCGCGTCGCCATCTTTCGAACTTGCACGAAGCACTTGGCTGTATGAACGGGGGGGCTTCACAAGGCACTCGGCAGGGGTCAGCAGCCCTCAAGCTTTTCGCTCCTGGAATGTCGTGGCCGTTTGTGCCCGCCGCTGAGTGTTGGTCGCAGCTATTCACATCACCAAAGCCCGGGCTTGGTGGTGTTGGACCGGCTGCCCCGCGCAACCCCGCGATATTGTGCATTAGCGCACGAGACCAGTTCGCTGACAGTGAGCATCATCTGCAAGCCCGCCAATCTCTGGCGACGCGTCTGCTCATGGACTCCAGGATGCGGCAACCCGGCGCTTAATTCTCGTCGCCAAGTCCATGGCAAGTTGTTCCGGCCAGCGCGCGTTGCCCCCTCCGATTTACGTATCTGCTTTGTTGGGCCTGCGACAACGTCGACGACGACGGCATGCAGCCGTGGGCCAGCAGCTCAGCGTCATGGGGATGAAGGGAGCTTGGGGAGTTTGTCGAAGCCAGTTGGGGTTCCACCGGACGGATGGGACCGGTGGATCGTGCAATCTGCACCGATCTCGTGAGCCCGTGTCTGCCAGATCTGTCCGTGGATCCTTGGCCGGTCGCGGCGGGCTGATGTTCCAGCGCAGGCTGGGATCCAACAGGTCAAGTCATGCACGCCGCGATGCCGTCCTTCAACCAATGCACTACTCCTGACACCTTCTTCGCCTCTCTAAAATCTTCTTCTCGGCCGAGCAGTGAAGAAGCCCCATCTACCTCGGGGAGACGACACTGATACGGCACGACTTCGTACGAGGAATTTGGACGGTCGATGAAACGAAACGGCTTGGTCACGACTTCGGGCCCCATAACGCCGGGGCTCCGAAGAGCGGGCCGCTTGCTCACGTGACTTCGCGATCATCTGGCTCCCGAACAAGGCCTTGTTCACGTCACCCCAGATGCACGGCCTCACGTCGCCTCATTCGTGCACGCTGTCCGCGCAGCCAAGGTCATCCGGGAAACTATCCCGCAGACGACCGCAAAGATGAAGTTTGACATCGAGTATGGACGCCGTCCCGCTACTGTGCACCTGCCTTGCTTGAATTCGCTGACCTGTGCCAGCGGCCTGCCCGTCCTGTTTCCATATCCAAGGATTTACCCTGGTGCGTGTGCCCGGCACTACACTTCTTCTCCAGTCCACTAACTTAGTGGTAGAACAATATGCGTTGGTTACCCTCAACTCCCCTCACAACAGCTATCGGTACTAAGTGCACCTTCGCAATCGCCAGCTACATGTGCGATCTCAAAAGTCAGTGTTGCCCGATTTCACGCTGCCGCCCGCGGACTTGCGTGGCTTATGCCGTCACTGCATTACTAACAGGTCTTGTAACATCGCCAGAAACCCTCGATGCAGGTGGTCATTGCGTCTTGGAGATGCCTTCGGGAACAGGAAAGACGGTCTCGCTCCTCTCCCTCATCGTCGCCTATCAGCAACACATGCCCGAGAAGCGGAAGCTCATCTACTGCTCGCGTATGTTACACCAGCCATGCGCTTTGGCCGTTCCTGCCTGACGTCTGTTCAAGGGACCATGTCAGAGATTGAAAAGGCCCTCGTTGAGTTGAAGGAGTTGATGAAGTACCGCGCCGACCAGCTTGGGTACGAAGAAGACTTCCGTGGCCTCGGTCTCACTAGCCGGAAAAACTTGTGCCTCCACCCCTCGGTCAAGCGCGAAAAGAGCGGCTCCGTTGTCGATGCCCGGTGCAGGAGCTTGACTGCTGGCTTCGTCAAGGAAAAGAAGGATCGCGGCGAGAGCGTCGACCTCTGCGTCTACCATGATGTGCGTCGGGCAGCACTACCGCCCTGTCTGTTTTTGCTCCAAACTTAAAAGACTGACCTCCCCCTCCCTCAGAACCTGGACCTGCTAGAACCTCACAATTTGATACCCAACGGGGTATGGACCTTTGACGGTATTCTGCGCTATGGCGAGGAGCATAAGCAGTGTCCATACTTCACTGCGCGCCGAATGGTAGGTCGATATCCCAGGACTCCGTTCACTTGTGCTGACATGGCTGCTAGATGCAATACTGCAATGTCGTCATTTTCTCGTATCACTACCTGCTCGATCCGAAGATTGCCGAGCGGGTTTCCCGAGACTTCTCTAAAGACTGCATCGTGGTCTTCGACGAGGCGCACAACATTGACAACGTTTGCATCGAATCGCTGAGCACTGATATCACCGAAGACTCTCTAAGAAGAGCCACCCGTGGTGCGCAAAATCTGGAGCAGAAAATCTCAGACATGCGAGATACGGATCAAGAGCAGCTTCAAAACGAGTACCAGAAGCTAGTCCAGGGCCTCCGCGAGGCAGACGAAGCGCGTCAGGAGGACGCTTTTATGTCAAATCCAGGTATGAATCGCAAATCAAATCGGTTGACGTCGACAACGTGTTAATGGCCACGCTCCAGTTCTGCCCGAGGACCTTCTGAAGGAAGCTGTGCCAGGCAACATCAGGCGAGCAGAACACTTCGTTGCATTCCTCAAGAGGTTCATTGAGTATCTCAAGGTCTGGTCGCTCTCCGAATCTGTGACGGCCTTACCTAACATGGATCTCCTCGCAGACTCGCATGAAAGTGCGCCAGGTCATTTCAGAGACACCGCCCTCTTTCTTGGCGCACCTTAAAGAGCACACTTTCATCGAAAAAAAACCGCTCAGGTTCTGCGCCGAGCGCCTGACATCGCTCGTGCGAACCTTGGAACTCACAAACATTGAGGACTACCAACCTCTCCAAGAAGTCGCCACCTTTGCCACACTCGTCGCTACGTACGAGAAAGGGTTTCTGCTCATTCTCGAACCTTACGAGTCCGACACTGCCGAGGTTCCCAACCCCATTCTGCATTTCACTTGCCTGGATGCGGCGATTGCTATTCGTCCAGTATTCGAGAGATTCTACTCAGTGATCATCACGTCGGGTACTATTTCTCCGCTGGAGATGTATCCAAAGATGTTGGACTTCTCCACCGTCATTCAGGAGTCGTACAGCATGACCCTGGCCCGGCGGTCCTTCTTGCCCATGATTGTGACTCGAGGCAGCGACCAGGCCTCCGTGTCGACTAGTTTCCAGGTCCGAAACGAACCGAGCGTGGTACGGAACTATGGCACTCTTTTGACCGAGTTCGCCAAAATCACACCTGATGGCTTGGTTGTCTTCTTCCCTTCTTACCTGTATATGGAGTCCATCATCAGCATGTGGCAGGGCATGGGCATCCTAGACGAGGTCTGGAAATACAAGCTCATCCTGGTCGAAACGCCCGATGCGCAGGAGACTTCGCTGGCGCTTGAGACGTATCGGACCGCCTGCTGCAATGGCAGAGGCGCGATCCTGCTTTGTGTCGCGCGAGGAAAGGTCTCGGAGGGAATCGACTTCGACCACCAGTACGGCCGTACCGTGCTTTGCATAGGTGTGCCTTTTCAGTATACCGAGTCACGCATCTTGAAGGCAAGGCTCGAGTTCCTGAGAGAGACGTATCGCATCAAGGAAAACGACTTCCTGTCCTTTGACGCAATGCGCCACGCTGCCCAATGCCTGGGTCGAGTGCTGCGAGGCAAGGACGACTACGGTATCATGGTTCTTGCCGACCGTCGGTTCCAAAAGAAACGGAGCCAGCTGCCCAAGTGGATCAACCAGGGTCTTCTCGACGCTGACGTCAACTTGAGCACCGATATGGCCGTGAGCAGCGCGCGGAGATTCCTCCGCACCATGGCGCAGCCCTTCCGCGCCAAAGACCAGGAGGGAATCAGCACCTGGGGCTACGAAGACCTCAGAGAACACAAAGAAAAGATGGACGTGGAGAGAAAGCGTGAAGAGGAAGAAGCGCGGCGCAATGTGACCGTCAAGGACCTCGCCGCAATGAGCACTTATGAATACGATGACGAAGAGCTGGATCAGGAAATGATGGAGTTGGATGGCTTTTAAAGTTGACAACCTCCCCTCGCCACTCGACACGCTCGACCGCGGTGAAGGCTGTGCTCACCCTTCTCCTGCAGGAACCTGGGCAATCGATGACCCCTTGCATTACACACCCTGGCGTTACGGATTCCGTTAGTGGTGCAGTCCATCATTTACTAGAGAGGCGAACATCGGTCAAATGTCCTTTGCACAAGCGCCCTTCATTCAGCGTTTAAAATTAATTGTTGTAAACATACCCGGCTACAGCCCGATTGAACGCCTTGCATGCTGTTAATGGTGAGAGACACATGTAAAAGGACCAGGCTCATCACGGCACGAATGCAACCTGTACTATTGCGTGGCGGGGTAAAAGCGCTTGCCTGCCTTGACGGCCCTCATGGCGGGCACGGTGAAGGCCCTGCCGGGTTTCCTTCCAATCTCGATGCAAAGCATGCGAATGAAATCCTGGTTGGTCCAGTAGCTCGTATGGGCGCTGAGCATGTTGAGATATTGGATCTCGAGAGGACCACCTCCCGACTTGAGGAACCAATCGATTTGGCCGTTGTCATTGAGGAGAAGAAATTTCTTCTCGGCAATTTCTTCGCGGCTAAAGTCATGAACCTCCAGTTCCAATTGCGAGGGCAGTCGCACTGTTGGCGGCCGTTCTGCCTCCATAACCAGCGCATCTGACGCCGGTGCCATGCCCGGAACAACGCTGCGTACAGCGTCCCCCATAGATTTGAAAAATGACGTTGCCGTACTAGGGCAGTAGGCAATCTTAAGACCAGATGCATATGCCGAGTCCACAGCACCGTTGAGCAGGTAGGCAATCGGGTCCTCCTTGGCAAGAATGTTGTAGATGTTGTCCACAGCCAGGCACCCGAAGGTCCCTGTTTCTCCGACTACTGACTTTGCAGTAACGTCGGTTAGGTCAGCTCCGGGCTTGCGTTGTCCTCGTCGTGGCACGAGGGTACCCCGCTCGAGCAGGAGGAAGAATCCGGCAGGGCTACCCAGGAGGAAAAGGTTGCACGTGTCAAACTCGAAGAAGTTGGACTCTGGCTCAGGCCGAGACAGGTCAAGCTTGGGGGCCTTTGTTGGCTGACGCGAGAGGACATCGAGCGCCATGGCGCTGCCCAGCGAATGCGCGATGAGATGGACTCTTCCCTTCTCGGCGAAGCCAGGATTGTTCCGGCACCAGAGCCGATAGACCCGATTTGCCTCGGAAACGAGAGCTTTGATCATCTTGCCCTTGTGGTGGGACATGTAGAAGGGGATGTCAAACATGACATCAGACATCATGCTCCGGACCGCTGGAATGGTGCTTGGCTCAATATCTTTCAATGCAAAGGAGTCTGCCGTGCGCGCTGCCTCGTCCTCCTCCCGAACGGGGCCGCCGTCTTCAAAGGACAAACCAGTCCTCCAATTAAGAGGCAGAATCATAAGACCACTCTGGTCCTTCCGCAACACCTCCTGAACAAGCGGGTTGTTCAATTCGAGGTTGACAGCCCTTCGGAAGCCATTGATGGCATGGGTAAAATGGAAGCTCTCTACCCTTTCTGCAAACTTTTGGCCAATTCCATGAGCCACGAGGATCAGATCGTTGACTTGATTGCCGTTCTTGGCTGCCTTGCATGCCATGCACATGCTGGAGCCGGCTTCTTGCTGAAGCTCCTCAGCTGCTGACACAGCGGGCTGTCCTGGAGTCGTCCGCGTCTTTTCGTGAAGGCGGTCCCACGTGTGGCGATCAAACCCTCTGATGACAGGTATACCGACAGTAAGACCTTTCATTATCTTGCTCAGAGGTTTCCTCCCGTAGTATGCCGACGGCTTGAGGCTGGGCTTCAACAAGAATGCGTGCCTCTCGTCCTTGTAGATGACGTGATAGTTGGAAAAGGGCCTGTTGGGCGACCCTAACGCAATCGCGGGCCCGCTTAAAACAGGCTCGATTGAACCTTGGCAGGCGGCTTCGCCTTGGGAGCAGCGTGATGCGCAAAAAGGGTCCGAGGAAACACGAGCTTCAGGCTCGACGCCTTTCTTGTTCCAGTACGGTTGATTTGAGTCTTGAGGCCAGAGCAAGTGAGCGACTTTCTCCTCACCCAGTGGCCCAACATCTATGGCGCATCGAATCTCATCGTTCCATGTCTCCGTCCACGGACGCAACTCCTGATACCCAGTTTCAAGCTGGTTGGCGACAATAGGGGCGATTGGCAACATGGTGTCTCTGGGCGTATGTGTTAGTACCAGGAGCTTCAGGATTCACCAGGAACACATTACTCACCTGTAGAACCACGTTGCCCTTGTCACTACCGCGATATCGTTAACTGGAGACCAATAAATGGGCTTCATCTGCAGCAATGGGAGAGAAACTTTGTGCAAGCGAGATACGCCAACAGGAACTTCTGCCACGTTCCTCACGGCCGACACAACTGCGTCTGAGTTCTCAAGATGATCCAACAGCGCTGGAGATGTGATGCGATCAGCAGAGCCCCCATCGTCCCGTCTGGCGGATGAAGCATCAGCGAGGGCCTCGGTGCGCGGAAGGGAAGTTGAGGCCGACGGCGGATGGCTGTCAAGGCTGCCCACGCGCACAAACGGCTTGCCTGAGATGCCGTCATCACCGTGAGACACGCGGAAGGGAGCTCGGACGCTGCTGGGAGTATGAGTCCGAGACGAATTACCAGTAAGCTGGGACGTTGACCGAGGCCGCCGTTTTGTATCAGAGCTCTCGTCATAGGCACGCTGGAGAGGTTCGTTCTCCTTGCCACCGAGATTCTTCAGAGGGCTATTTGTCGGTAGTACCTGCTCCGGGCTGTCACTGGCACCGGGTTTGCGCAAGCCGTCGATGGCCGAGAAAACGTCGCGCGCAACCTCCTCTACGCTCAGGTGCGGGTCATGTTTCCTGCACAAGCTACAGAAACTTGTTTGCAGCTCTTCCGAGACACTCATGAGAAGCTCGGTGCAACACGGGATAAAGGAAGCCCGCGTGAGGGCATGCGACGCATCTTGTGGGGATACCGTATGAGGATGCTTCTCCCAGTGATCTAGCGCCAGCATTTGAATGAGCTTGTCCCTCTCTGCGCCGGCGGCATCCGGGGCGGGGCGAACTGAGTCGCGATCCGATATGGAGGCCTGGTGTCGAAGGCGGTCTGACTGCGACATGAGGCTCAACCACGCCTTCTCTAAAGCAATGTTGTCCTCGTTGCTGAAGGGGCGAAGCTGCCGCTTCGAAGATCTTGAGTCGGACGTGCTGGCAGTGGAGCCTGTTGACAAGGGGTCGTCGATGGGGATGAGGGACGAGTAGAAGAACTGGGCGTCGGTCGGAGGTACGTCGTTATCTAAAGTCGGGTGGCGTACGGGGGCAAGGCGACATCCAGGGCCGCGGGTATGATTCGGGGCTGCCATGTCGGGAACGAAGGGCGCGGCTGCAGCGTATCGGGAACAGTTATGGCGAGCGAGGCCAAGGAGTGGTCTTCGTCCTCGGTGCTAGCCGAGGGAGGTGGTTGTCGTCAAAGCCAGCCCACCGACAGGGCAGACACTTGGAAAACGCAGCCGTCATAACATTGTGCAGGCGTGACGAGGTGGCAACGGGGGAGTCAGGGGAGCAGAAGCAACGTGCGTCGTGAGGCTGTTTGTCGGGAGGAGATTTTGGGATACAAGGTCGCACAAAAGCGACCCGCTCCGGCTGGACAGAGGTTCATGCCGTGCCGTGCTGTCACGAACCTGGACTGGCAGGCAGGCGTCGTCCGGATGACGTGGGGTGTGCGCGTCTCGGCCGTGGCGCCTCAGCTCAGCCCTGCGGCCTGGTTGGCCAGCGGCACGTGGCGGCGCCTCCAGGCCTTCATGCCAGCCCCAGCATCCCAGGTGGGAAGGTACCTAGAGTAGCCATGCTAGGCTACTGTAGGGTCCACGATTCTGGGCGTGACTCCGCAACTCCACGCCGGCCCCGACTCTGGGCTCTGGGCTCTGGGCTCTGGGCTCTGGGCTCTGGGCTCTGGGGCAGCATCAGGTGCCATCAAGACGCAGGCAGCGCGGGCAAGTGCCAAGGGCAGGGCAGGGCAGTTGCAACGCGAGGCTGCCTGGCTGTTGATTTGCCATTAAATAAGGTACCCAGGCACGCCCAACCCAACTTACTCTAGGCACCACCAAGGAACGAAGCGTCACAGCCGCGAAGACGCGCCGGATCCCAGTAGGATTTTTGCGCCCGGGCCTGCTCGAGCATTTGACACCCTCCTGCCTGAGCCTGGCCATCGCGTTCAGCAGACGTTCTTCATTAGAGGCCTGGGGCATGTTGTTGTTATACGAGTCAAGGGCTCGAGATGCTGGGATCGGAATTGAATCCCGCATCAATGCCGCGCGACAATGCCAGCGGCCCCATTTGCAGAGTCAGGACACCGTCCCGCCGGGTCCGATTCCGCCGACTGCTGCAAAGTACCAGGGACCGAGGTAAGTAGCTACCTAAAGATACGCAGGTAGGACGTACCTCCCTTCCTCGGCGATGGCTTCGCAGTGCCGCTGCGGTGCAAGATGGTATTACGACCTCGCACTGCAGGCTCATAGCATAATTCCCTGCAATCATCTCTCCCGCCCATGCGGCCCGTAGCCGGGTCAAAAGAGTGGTGCGTTGTTGACGGGTGTGGATACTGGCTCACGCCACGTCCACAACCGACTCCACGACAGAAATGCACACGAGAAGCGCCATTTCGAAATGACACCCAACCCACCGCGCAACTACGCATCGCCCCGGAAGCGCCTGCGTCATCATCATGGACCGCCAACTCGAGCAGCTTCTGCCAGCGCTGAGCGCCCGCCCGGGCCTCTGCAAGTCGCTGCTTCCCGAGCTCCTGGACTGCGTCGCCGACATCGCCGATGCCCTGCGCAAGTCATACGACGTTGCCCTGGCCGGCACCGCAAATGCCTTCGGTGACGACCAGCTCAATGTCGACGTTGCTGCCGAGGACATTCTTCGAGCCGCCCTTTCCCGATGTCCCGTGGTTGCGACGGCTAGTAGCGAGGAGGACCCGACGGAGCGTGCAATCAACAACTTGCCAGCGACTTCCGGCGACGGTGAGCAATACACTGTTGCGTTCGATCCGCTCGATGGAAGTTCCATCATTGGCCCCAACTGGACCGTGGGCACCATCGTTGGCATCTGGGATGGGACTACCGCACTGCGCCAATCTCCGGCGGACAAGATGGTTGCCGCTGTCCTCGGTGTTTACGGCCCTCGCACCACGGCCATCGTCGCCATCCGTCTCCCGGGATCCGAGTCTGTGTGCTTAGAGATCGCCATCGCCACGAGGAGCGGGAGCGCCCGGAGCTCCACCGTCCTCCGCCCTGCCGTAGGTCTTGCCAAGCCGCCCTTCAGGACGAGGTACTTTGCTCCGGCGAATCTACGCGCCGCCGCAGAGTCTCCGTCGTACATGCATCTCATTGCGCACTTCGTGGACAACAAATACACGTTGCGGTACAGTGGTGGCCTTGTCCCGGACCTTGTTCATGCCCTTGTAAAGGGTCACGGTGTGTATGTGTCGCCAGTCACCGCCACCAGCAGGGCGAAGCTGCGTCGCCTGTATGAGCTTTGCCCAGTGGCGCTGGTCATGGAGTGTGCTGGGGGCAGGGCCATTGATCCTACCACTGGCGAGGATATCCTAGCGCAGCCTCTCGACAGTTGCGACGACAGGGCTGGCCTTGTGTGTGGCACCTCTAACGAGGTGAGCCTTGCGAAGGACTTCTTGCTCGAAACAGTCCCCCTGGCTGGGTAGTGGCACTGCGCAGCGTGGGCTGGCGACCGCCAACAAAGGGCCATTTGGCGTCTTGGTCACCGTTGTCCTGCCAAAGCCCGTCCGTCAGAGGCGAATAGTTCTTCTCCAGCCATGTCTCTGTCAGTTTCTGGGGAAACGGGGATCCAGCGTGCCGTCAAGGCGGCTTCATCTGAGCTTCTCACAAATAATACTGTTGCCAGCTTCAAGGGACTGTCGGCGGGATTTGGACCAAAGCCCCTGCGTGGTTTTGAAGCAGCCTTGCTGCACCAGGTCCCTCTGGCGGGCCACCTTCAGGCAGAAGATCTGGGACAGAGCATCTTGCCAACTTGTGTCCGCGACAGATGGTCGTTTGCCTTTTGGAGGTTCCCTCTCGCGTTCTTCCACAGAGACCTGGCGTGATAGCCCGAAGCTGCGCGCCGAAGCTGCCCGCCGAAGCTGCCCGTATTATTGGCATGATCGCGGGCGTCTTGGGTTCATGTCACGATCGGCCGTGCCACTCAAACTCAACCCAAACCAGGACCATCAGCAGCAACATTACCGGTGGAGACTATTTCCCTCAAGCTCACGGCGTTGAAAAGGGGCACGCGTATCGCAGTCGACTAGCTGCCCCCCCCCCCCAAACGACAGCCGACAAATGGACTGATCATTTGTCCCTCCGGTGTGCTCGTCAGGGGTCAAGTCGTTGAGTTGGCGCACAATTATTGCCACAGTACTGTCACCATAAACAGACGCCACACCACGACGCACCACTGGCCTGAGCAAATGAGCCCTTTTTTCACTCCTGGCCAGGGACTCCAACCCCACGTGGGCAACCAACCCTCCCACACACCGTCGGTAGGACGAGTCGTTTTGTTTTCGGGTATGAATGCTCCTCAGCTGCTTTCCTGCATTTCCCAGGGGCTGCGGGGACTGTTTTCCTACGACGACAAGAAATCTTTCGGTTTGCGTGTCAAAGTCTCGGCCGTGTAACAGCTGTACCTGTTATCGAAAGACGGCCTAAATCACGTACACGGGTCTCGGAAAGTACCGGTCAGCCCATTCGCCGTCTCGGGATCGATCTTACTGAGGCAATCTGTAGCGTCTGTCGCCTATTCAGGTCGAGCTCGCCGCGGCATTCACAAGGATCAGACTCTGGCGGCAGGGAGGCAAAGCAGCCGAGCATCCGCCGGAGGATTCCAAAGCGAGGCACTGCAAAGACTGGCCTTCTCCGCATTCAAGGAGAGCGCGGAGAAGGTGCGCCACGAGCATTAGCGGCCATGGTGTGCCACTGTCGTCGCAGAAAGGGGCGGGCCCGACACACACCAGGATCAGCTTACAAGTACGCATGTACACGAGAGTACCCCAAGCTAGGCCCCAAAGGCGATTATCAGGGTGTTTGGTCGATGTGTCCCCATCTGTGGAACGGCTGGAACCACTTGCCGGCGTGGACCGGACGGTGGGTGCGGGGAGTCGAGGCATGCCTCCTGAAGAGGTACCTCGTACTTATAAGAAGCAGTACCAGGCAACGCCCATGCGTGTGCCAGCAGCCGTTTTGAGTTCCAGGTTTGCAGGTGGTTGCTTGTGTTTTATTTTATATACCTGGGCCACCTGGTCATGCAAGGCCCCTCGCTGCCTTTGTACCCTGGACAGTAGCAACGATGATTGCGTGCTCGAGTGTACGAGGATTTGGCAAGATTTCTCATTGACGCCACCGGCGACAGGAACGCTCTCGCGTCCTCGCTGGGTAATCATAACAGCTTTGACGTGGTTGGCGCAATAGGCGCAGTTTGAGGTGTTCTGTTGGCCCGAGTCTTTACCCGGGGCCGAAGCCACGGACGCACATGGCATTGCGCCCGGGCTACTGCTGTGTGTCTGCGCCGCGGCCTTGCACATTAACCTTTGAGGGCCCCGGGAGGAAGCCTCATCAAGTGCAACGGTTAGTGGCCGTGGTGTCGTATAGTAAATTAGTGCCTACAGGACTTGTGCGGGACGCTTGCTTTGCACTCGCGGGGAACCCGGAAACTCGTAATAGCTAATGACACTGTTGCACACCTGCTGACACCGACACCGACACCGTGTCAGCCAAGAGAGCTTCTCGGCAAGGCGTCCAATGGTGTTGTCGGCGAGTCGTGCGCGCGACATAGGGGGCGGGCGGCGACGTGGTCAGCCTCTGCGCGTATTCCATATTCCAAAGCATAACGAACCTCTCTTCTGGACGAGGTCCAGATCCCTGCCTGAACAGGTTACGTTTGGCTTAGGCATGCGGCACTCGCGCGCGATTTGCACTTGTGGTTGCGCTTGTGGTCTTGCAAGTAAGCGTATGGTGGCAGGCTAAGCACGTACCCGTTAACCTAGGTTGGTACCTAGTACATAATAGTGGTAGTAAACATGGAGGCGAACAGGCCAAACGGGGGCCAGCCAAGCCAGCATGTCAACACAGTGCTGCGCCTGTCTCTTATACACATCTAGATGTGTATAAGAGACAGCCCCAGGTCACCTAGTCAGTACATGTACATCCACGCTCTACTGAACACACTTGTACTGCGAAGTACAGGGTCTTGGGATAAGAGGTAATGTACGAACCTGGAAGTACTACCTAAGTACTTTGCAGCGCGTTTTACTTTGCCTCATCTGCCTTTTGTCGAGGCAGAGAAGGACCTGGCACAAAGCCTGGAGTGCCTCCCGTACTTGAACCCATGCCTCCTGCCGGTGGCCGCACGGACACACGAGAGACGGGACGCTGAACGGTTACACTGCGCATGCCTACTGGCCGTAGCGTGTAAGTTAGGTCCCTCAGCCTCGGCCTGGGCTGACGCCATGCTGCCGCTTCTGCTCGGTTTTTTTTTTTGTCCCTCTTGGTATATTTTCCGAAGCTGAGAAATCCCACTCGACCTGCCCTCGCCACATCATCGACTTTGGAAAACCCAGACGGCGGCGAGTGCTTGCCGTACAGCCCGGTATATTTGTCACCGTCTGCCAGAGCTGCTGACAGCCGACACGTCCAGGCCGCCTAACCCAAGGGGGTGGCGGGCTCCGCCAAGCCATCCGGAGATGTACTACGTACCTAGGCGTGCGTACCTGAGGGAGGTGCGGTGCACAGCACAGTGCGGGGCCGGGTTCAATGGATTACCGCCTGGTGCCCGCAACCAACACTCCCGCTGTCAGGGCCGTGCCTGCAGGGCCTTGCCTGAGGTTCCTACCTACTAGTAGGTGGTGGCATTCTGGGGCCTTCGTCGACGTTTCTTTTAGCCGTCCGTTGTCGGTGGCCGCGCACCCCCATGCGGCAGTTGCGAGTTATTTGGGTACCTTGCACAGAACTGTAAACTGGAGGTACTTTCCATGCCTTGCAACAACCCCGAAGGCGTCTTCATTCAGTTCCCGCGGCACCGGGCACGTACCGTTCCCCCATCCATCTAGGTACCTAGGTATGAGTAAAGGACGGTATCCATCCATCCATCCGCCCGCCCATCCCATCCCATCCCATCCCATCCTCCTCGTTTCGCCCAGTCAGTTTGTGTGTGGGTCGCCTCGAACGATTGTTGAGCTCAGCCTCCATAGCGACGTGCCATGCGAAACCTTGCGGCTTACCTCCAGAGCACAGAGCAAACGCCGTGGAACCACAGCTCCGGATCGTCCGGGTCTTCGGCAAAGGGCGACGACACGATTTTGCTCACCTCTGCGCGTGCCCGCTCTCCTCCGTGGGCGCGTGGCCCTGGCCGAGCCCGACGTCTCTCTCGTCGCCGAGCCCGGACGTGGCCGTTGATGCCGCCATGGCTCGAACCACGCCCTGTTGAGACGGGCTTGGATCACACAGCGTCCGGCAAGCTTCGTCGGCCCACGCCCGCACTGGCGAGATGAAGCAATCATGTTTGGCCGTCGACTTCCAAAATGAAGCGCGGGTCGTGTGCCCAACGGCCTATGTCCGTATCCGAGATGCTCGACTCGGCTCAAACGCACCTGATGCTCGTCGTCCGTCGATGGCATCCTGTCGGCAGCCTCGTCGGATGGAGGGGCGGCCTTGTGGGTAGTTTCCAAGCCCCAAGCCCCAAGGAGATGGCCGATCCAGCCTCTCGGGACTTGTGTGCAGCGGCCGGGACAGCAGCGGACGTTGCGAGATCCTGGCGAGTCTGCCTATAAGTCTCGAGTCACCAACGGACGGGCAGCCCTGGGGCTACGCGATGCAACAATGGCTGCCAGGCTGCCCGCGCCGACGCCTGTGCCGTCAGCAAATCACCGGTCCGCTCTCGCAGGGCATCAGCTCACGTCTGGGGCATGCTCACGCTCAAGGTGGCCGGCCCCTCAATTCTGCTGTCATCGCCTGGCCCCCATGTCCAACCCAGCCTGGGTCCTTCGGCCAGCCCAGGGTTCCGTGACGGGAATGGTGTTTGGAGTCGTTGCCGAGTACTTCGTACCCTGGGAGTGGTGTGTGCCTCGGCGGGACTCCGTGTACGAGTACTCGCGCTGTGTCGTGGCCACGGGCCCCCCGGTTCTGGCCCAGTCCTCGACGTCTTACTTGCATGTCCCTACTTCGTACACGACTTGCTCTTGTGTGCGCATTTCCCGCCCTGCTGGGTTGCTCCCCATACTGGCTTCCTGTACTTGGTCCACGGCCTGTCACTCGATGCTCGGCCCACCCACCCGCTGGCCTAAATATTTCTTTGCGTTTCCTTCCTTTCCGTTCATGCTTTTACCCTAATGTGCTGGATGCAGTTCATATACAAGCGCCAGTGTCAGCTAGTCGCAGTCGTGTTTGGGTTGCCTCTTGATGCTCCAACAAACAAGCCCCCCCTGGACGAGGCCAACTGCTCGTTCAGTCGCCGCAGCCGCCTGCCACCTCCACGCTGATTCCATGCTTCTGTTTCTCGGCGGCATCTCGCCCTCTAGAAGATCCCGCCGCGTTGTTGGCCAGTCCTGATCACGACACGCAGACGTTACTCCGACAAAGGCCTGCGCCGTTGCTTTCCCGGCGCGGTTGTGAAGCCTGTCCTGCCCGGACGTTCCATCGCGGCTCTTGTTCCTGGCCCAGCGGTAATCCCAACGGACAATCGCCGTGCTGTCATCGTCCCTGATGTTTCCAAACTGGTGGAGCGCAGCGTCGGGGATCACTGCAGGTGCAACTCATGAAGCGGTGCTCAACTCCGATGGTTGATCCACGGTGGTCACTGCCAGCTCCCTCTCCCCCTTTCGGGGCGGTCCAACCGCTTGCACGGCAAGCCAGCTTTGAATAACCATCCGTGACGAATGATGGACCTCACGCCTTCCCCAGTCATCCCGTCGCCAGCACTGTCGCACCACCAAAAGCAGCAGCAGCAACAGCAGCAACAGCAGCAACAACAGCAACAACAGCAGCAACAACAGCAGCAACAACAGCAACAACAGCAACAACCGCCGCCGCTGCCGCCACAGAATCGCCACCAAGAAGCACAGCAACACCGACAGCACCAGCAACAACACGCAACACCACACTATGGCATGGTTCCAAACCGTTCCTCAGCACCATCGGCGGCCAGATATCCTCCTGCCGCCCTCTTTGACCTCGATCGAGGCTCCTCTTCGATGACCAGCCGGCCACTTCTAGGTCGGCCGCACCAGGCTATAGCACCGAGGACCATCACCGAGCCACAGTGGGAGTATTCTCACCAGCTACCTCCGGTACTTGCCGCCAGCCATGAGCTCTTCTCCAACTACGACGTGGTTCAGCCCCAGGAACCGGTTGCTGAAATCTACCACGCCCATCCGTCTCCTAATCAGGAATGGGCGGCGCGGCACGCGGCACACATTGCAGGGGACAGAACTGTGCATCCCGTCGTCCATAGCAGTGAGTTCGCATACGCCCCGCATGACGTCGGCATGCTGGGAGTGAACCCGCACGATCCGCCCTCCGGACCATCGTCACACCAAGCACTGACCCTGCCAACATGCCCCTCCGACGATGCTGCCGACACCCTCCTGAGCACTTCGATCAACGCGTTCCCTTCGCAGTCGCCACCGCGTTTCGTCACGCAAGGGTGGATAAGGCCCGGCGACAGCAACCTCCTGCCGCAAGGAGTGCCGTCGGCGTCGACCGCGCCAGCTTCTGCCGCTCCCAATTCCACCCGGACGCGACGTGCGCCTCGAAAGCACACTACGAAAGAGGAGGCCAACTTCCAGTGTACTGTTGAGGGTTGCGGCAAGTTCTTCAGTCGCAGTTACAATTACAAGTCACATCTCGAAACTCATGACGACCAACGTGAATACCCCTTTCCGTGTCTGGTGAGCGGCTGCAATAAGAAGTTTGTTCGGAAAACCGATCTTCAGCGACATCACCAGAGTGTCCATGTCAAGGAGCGTAATCACCGTTGCGACTACTGCGGCCGGCTCTTCGCCCGCAAAGACACCTTGCGGAGGTCAGTCGATACCACGTCCTGTCCCGCTGCGTCTACGTTGAACGCTGACACTGGGCGCTTAATCTAGGCACATGGAAGATGGCTGTTCCAAGAGATTCGACATCAAAACGCTCGATTTGCACGGCCGTGGACTCCCGGTTCCCGTCCCGCCAGCCCCAAGGATCGAGCAAGAGAACAGTGAGGGGAGTGGGAAGGGCCTATTGATGCCACCACTGACTTCACAACACGCGCTACCGCCTGAGCAACATTGGCGAAGATAGCAGCGCGGAGAAAACATATCATTTGCAGGCCCCTGGGTAACTCGTTGGGGACCAGAAACACAGGGTGGGAAGGAGCACTTCATCGGAGCAATGTCACTAGTTCTTACAGACACACATGGCAAAGTCAGGTGGGCGGACAATGCAGATTTTAATGCGTTGGCATTGCCCCCAGAAACCTGGTCCTTCCCTAGCACTAAACCAACATTCAAAGCTTAATCTTGTCTAAGCGAGCCCCTTAGCCAGAGACCAAAAATTGTCCATTTTGGACCGTGACAAAACGTCCCTCGCCTCTTGGTCCGTCTCGCAAACCCTGCTGCCCCATTTCCTAAAGCCTCTCGCCTTTTGCTCGCCTTCGAAGACAAGCTTGCATTCGTTCAACGACATGTCCTTGAGGCTCCCATCCTCGGTCTCGGCCTTGAGCCAGTCGCGGCCAGCTTCGCGCTTGTCGTCCCTCGATTTCGGTGGCGAATTCTCGGTCCATTCAATGCGGTTAAGCATCAGCTTCTTGTATTTGTTGATGCTCCATGCTCCGCCCTCAACAATCACGAGGTTGAATTTGGGGTGCATGATGCAAGTCCCCGTGAGGCCCAACTGCTCGGCGTTGACACCGATCTTGTACCGATGCTGGCCGTTGGCCAGGCTGCTTATCTTGAAGACCAGAACGTGTATGCCCTTGTCCGCATCCTTTTGCTGGTTCTTCGCCACCTTTTCCTGTTTTTGATCTTTGGTGAGCTGGCGTTCCTCGTTGGCGTGGACGTGTTTCTCGTGACGCTCCGCGATTTCGCGGTTGACCCTCGCTTCGACTGCCGTAGGATCTTTGACAGCGACTGTAATTCCAAGTCAGTGACGTACTCAGCGCCTCTATGGCGCGCCGGGTTGGGGGGTAGTGGTTACCATCTCCAAGGACACGCATGAGGTTGCCCTTTTTCACCTTGGGGGGTGGTGCGGGTACCAATCCGAGTCGGATCTTCGCTTGCATCTCCTTCAGCTCCGCCATGCGACGTTGCCGGCGGATCTTGGCTTGCTCCTTGGACGTCAGGTACATGGGTTTCGCGGTCGGTGCATGACGGTCCTGAGGGGGTTCCAGAGCAACTGGGTGCTGGATGTACTCCGTCACGATGCTGTCTGACGAAAGTATTTTCAGCTTTGTCGGGTCCTCGAGGTCGTCATAGCTCTGTCCATCAAGCAAGCCCTCGTCCCACCATTCAATATTCGGAGGTGCCTCAACCACGAAGTTCTTCTCGACATCCAGGTCATCGTCGATGCCGGCCTTGCGCGTCTGTTCCGCTATCCTCTTCTTCATGTTTTCCAGGGCGGCCTGCCGACGGAGTGCGCTCGCTTGCTGAATATACTTGCCTTTCTGATTGAAGACCAGGTGCTTGGGTTCCCGTCGTCGACTTCCCGTCGTTTGCAAGGCGAGGTTCTCGTCAAAGTACGGGTTCTGGTCCCTGCTCTTGCCCTGTCCCGGCCGGCCGGCCGGCATGGCTGGCCGAGGCGACTTCGCTGGCTCAACATGTGGTGTTTGTGGCGTCTTCGGACTGTCCGTGTTCTTGGTCTGCGATTTCCACGACCCAAGATCCTCGAGAGCCGGGTGCAGGCCAACGCTTAAGCCGCCTTTTGCCTTGCTCGTGCCGATGGCGGCCGCCACCCGTGCCTTGAGGGCCGCCATCTTGTCGGCAGTAGACTCCGGTTTTTGGACCCTCGACGACGCGTCACGGCGCGGGCCCAAGCCAGGCTGATGGGGCGAGTCCATGTTGTCGCAAGTCGGCCCCTCCGTTATCCAAGTTGCTGTTTGCGCTGTAGCGTCCGCGTCCGATCGTAGCCTCGCGTCGTGTCACGCGATGCCCGATGTCTCGCCTGGCTGTTCGGCGGAAGAGCAAGGTCTGCGATGATGGCCCGTCGCCGACCTGATTGCCCGTATGCTCCCCCACCGAGTGAGGTTGAGTCGAAATGTCCGGCGAGACCGTATGGGCCGGTTCAGAGGTGCCAGGGCAAGGCGCTGCGGTGAGCAGAAGCTGAAAACGGGTCGAGGTCGTATTCGGAGAGCCTTGCGCGGGGCGTGCCGCGGTGATGATGAGTAGCAACCAAAAGTGTGGATAACGGAAACAGCAACAACCGAGTGCTGTTAGTGTTTTTGGCTGTGGAGCGCCTGAGGACCCACTGGCTGGACCGCCTGCAGCATCCACCTACGGCTGCCCGAGAAATTCTGCCGCCCGGGACCGCCAAAAATTTGTTCACCTTGCACTACTGCCCGCCATCGCGAACCGCTCCTTGTCCCCCCCAGCGGATGGAATTGGCTTGCAGAGTTGAACTCGTCTCTCCCCCTCCGGCCCTCGACGAAGTGCAGTCATGAATATCGCACAGCCCGTCGCCTCCGAGGTGGAGAGCGTCGAGTTCACATTTCTCTCCGCCGAGGAAATCCGGGCCATATCCGTCAAGCGGATCGAGAATGAAAGCACCTTCGACAATCTCCTAAACCCGGTGCCTGGTGGTCTCTACGACCCGGCCCTCGGCTCCTGGGGCGATTCACCGTAAGTTCGAGTGCTCGCTCACCCAACGTCGACAATCTAAGGGCTAACACGTGGCTATCACAGATGTTCGACTTGCAACTTGAACCAGGCCTCGTGTCCCGGCCATCCGGGTCACATCCAGCTGCCCGTCCCCGTCTATCATCCTGTTTTTATGGACCAGGCATACCGCCTCCTTCGTGCGACATGCGTCTACTGCAAAGGCTTTCGCCTGCCACCCAAGGAGCTACATAAGTACACGTGCAAGCTCCGCCTCCTCCAGCATGGCCTCATACAACAGGCCCACATTGTCGGGTCCATCGGCGAGAACGAACTTGCTGTGGAACTTCAGGAGTCCCTCGGCCTGGGGGATAGCGAAGCTGAAGAGGAAGGCACCTCTTCCATCGACAACGTCACCCGCGCGAGGGAGAAGTACGTGCAGCGCTGTCTTCGCGGGGGCAAGCTGCGGAGGGGCGATGTGAAGAAGGGCAAGCACGAGGGTGCCAGCGAGATGCGTCGCGATGTCATCAAGGAGTTTCTGGCCGACATCACCAAGAAGGCAGTGTGCGCCAGCTGCGGCGGCATATCACCGACATATCGGAAAGATAGATTTGTCAAGATCTTCGAAAAGTCGCTCTCCGGAAAGGAGAAGGCCAAGATGGCTCAGAAGAGCCTGAAGTGGGACGATGCCATGACGCGCGTCTATCACAGCAAGAAGCCCCGGAAAAGAGACGGGTACGCGTCCGACGAAGGGGTTGCCGACATTGGCTCCCCAGGCCGCGAAGAACGGACGGCTACGCTCGAGGATATCGAGATGCCAGATGCAGATGCGGCCGACCTTGCTCCGTCGCAACGATACATCAGCTCCATGGAGGTTCGCGCGAGGCTAGCAGAGCTTTTTGACAAGGAGCAGGAGCTCCTTTCGCTCCTGTACAACGCCAAGCCGCCCACGCGGAGCTCGCCCAAAGTCACCCCCGACATGTTCTTCATGACAACGATCCTGGTTCCTCCCAACCGATATCGACCTGAGGCGCGGACAGGCGATTCCCAGATTTCTGAGGCCCAGCAGAACTCGCTGTACAAGAACATACTCAGGAGCTGCGGCAAGATTGCCCAAGTGTACAACGCCTTGGACGCGGGAAATGCCGATGTTGTCCAGATGCACCAAGCTTGGACGGAGCTTCAAGAGGGTGTCAATGCGCTCATCGACAAAACCAAAAACCCGGTCCAGGGTGCTGCAGCAAAGCGCAACGAAGACGGCATCAAGCAGAAGCTCGAAAAGAAGGAGGGTCTGTTCCGAAAAAACATGATGGGCAAGCGTGTCAACTATGCCGCGAGAAGTGTCATCTCCCCGGATCCCAACATCGAAACCAACGAGATTGGCGTCCCTCCCGTCTTCGCAAAGAAGCTCACATACCCGGAGCCCGTCACCAGCCACAACTTCCGGGATATGCAGCAGGCCGTGATCAATGGCGTCGACAAGTGGCCTGGGGCTTTTGCGATCGAGAACGAAAACGGCCAAGTTGTCAACCTCCGGAACAAGTCAGTCGACGATCGCATCTCGCTTGCTAATCAGCTTCTGGCGCCTACGAACACCAGTGCAGCGAGGATGAGAAACAAGAAGGTGTATCGTCACTTGACCAACGGCGACGTTGTGTTGATGAATCGGCAGCCGACCTTGCACAAGCCCTCCATCATGGGCCACCGAGTACGGGTGCTCCCTGGCGAGAAGACAATTCGAATGCATTACGCCAACTGCAACACATACAATGCCGATTTCGACGGCGATGAGATGAACATGCACTTTCCGCAAAACGAGGTTGCGCGGGCGGAAGCTCTGCAAATCGCCGACACTGACCACCAGTACTTGTCAGGGACTGCCGGCAAGCCACTGAGGGGCTTGATTCAAGACCACATATCCGTCTCGGTCACGCTGTGCAATCGCGACACCTTCTTCACTCGGGGCGACTACCACCAACTGGTGTACAGTGCCCTGCGCCCGGAGAGCGGACACATCCTTGGAGAAAGGATTGAGCTCGTGCCCCCGGCAATCATCAAGCCCCTACCAAGGTGGACAGGCAAGCAGGTGGTGACGACTATCCTCATGAACATGCGCCCACCCAACTGCGGCGGCCTGTCAATGCGCAGAGACGCCCAAATAAGAGCGGACCAGTGGGGTGCCAATTCGGAGGAGGGTGTCGTTCTCATTCAGGACGGAGAGTTCATCACAGGCATTCTGGACAAGTCGCAGATCGGGCCTAGTTCTGGAGGCCTGATTCATGCCATTCACGAAATTTACGGCCCTGCCGTGGCAGGCAAGTTGCTGAGCAGCCTTGGTCGACTGTTGACGAGATACCTCAACATGAGAGCGTTCTCCTGCGGCATGGATGACCTCCGACTTACTCAGGAGGGTGAAGACGCACGACGAAAGGAGCTTCTTGCCGCAGATAAAGTGGGCGTTCAAATCGCATCTGGCTATGTGTCGCTCGAAAACCAGACCAACCCGCTCAACCCTCTTCTCCTGCGGCGGCTTGAAGAGGTCGTGCGCGATGACAGTAAGCAGGAAGGCTTGGATCTCTTGATGAATCAGCGAACGAAGGACATCACGGATGCCGTCCAGAAATCCTGCATTCCTAAGGGTTTGGAAAAGCCCTTCCCGAAGAATCAAATGCAGGCCATGACAACATCGGGAGCCAAGGGCTCGCGAGTGAATGCATCCCTCATTTCGTGCAATCTCGGCCAACAGGTTTTGGAAGGAAGGCGTGTGCCTCTGATGGTCAGCGGCAAGACTCTGCCGTGCTTCAAGCCGTTTGAAACGAACGTCAGGGCCGGCGGCTACATTGTTAATCGCTTCTTGACAGGCATTCGGCCTCAGGAATACTACTTCCATCACATGGCCGGTCGAGAAGGTCTGATCGACACAGCAGTGAAGACTTCGCGCTCAGGCTACCTGCAAAGATGCATCATCAAGGGCATGGAAGGGCTGACGGTTGCCTATGACACGACCGTAAGGGACGCCGATGGGTCTATGATTCAGTTTCTATACGGTGAGGACGGTCTTGACGTGACGAAGCAAAAGTACCTGTCCGACTTCAGCTTCATTTTGCAAAATGTCACGTCTGAGGCAGCGCAGTTACGATATGACCCAAAGCTCGGCGAGCGCCTCGGGGCCAACCGGGCCGCGTTCACCAAGTACATGAAAAGCGCCATCAAGCATGGGAAGGCCAACGACCCGAACGCAAAGGACCCTCTTTCCGCCAACTTTGATCCAGCTACGAACGCTTTCGTCACATCAGAAACGTTCTACGATGCCATGTCAAGCTACCTCAAGGAGAATGCCGACGGGTTGGTGCGCGAGAAAGGTGACAAGACTCAACAAGGCCTGCCCCGCGTTGCCCTGAACCGAAAGAACGCGGAAATGCTTTTTGCAATGAAGTACCTGAGGTCTCTTGTGGAGCCAGGCGAGGCTGTGGGCATTGTTGCGGGCCAATCTGTGGGCGAACCCTCGACGCAGATGACACTGAACACCTTCCACTTGGCAGGGCATTCGGCTAAGAACGTTACATTGGGTATCCCGCGACTTCGCGAGATTCTGATGACGGCAAGCAAGGACATTTCTACGCCGGCCATGTCCCTATATCCAATCTCGGAGCTTTCATCGAACGATGCAGAGGTATTCGCCAAGTCAATCAGCGCGCTGCGACTGGGGCAAATTCTTGACAGTGCTTCTGTGGAGGAGAGGGTGGGCAAAGGCAAGATGTACGGCTTGGCGAAGGTCTACAACGTCAGCCTCAAGTTCTTCCCGTCGGCAGAGTACACCAAGACGTACGCAATTCGCGTGTGCGATGTGATGGATACGGTCGAGCGGAAGCTGTTGCGAGCCATCCTGTCTCTTACCAAGAAGGAGATCAAGAAGCGGCAGGCCCAGGCCACCACTGCCACGCCCGAAATTGGAGTCAAGGCCGGCGTCGTGGAGATGGCTGCTCCGGAGCCCGAAGGCGAAGCGCGTGGCGAGGATGACGACGACGACATGGGCGACGACGATGCTACCAACTCGAAGCAGCGTGCGAACCGCAGTGAGGCCGTGTCTTATGGGCCCAACGACGACGAAGACGACGCCATCCAGCGGGCGAATGAGAGGGAGGCCATGGCCAGCGAGATGGAGGACGAGGGCTTCGGCGGGAGCCCTCCTCCACCCACGCGGAATGCCGACAACTCGGACGAGGAAGAGGAGGACGATGACGAAGACGTGACGTCTTGGTCAGCCAAGGCTCGAACTCAGCGGGCCCTTGACGCTTATGCGGAGCTGACGGACTTCCAATCCGACGAGAGGGATGGCGGCTGGTGCAACTTGACGATGGAGTTCGACGCCGTTATTCCCAAAGTGCTGATGCTCAACATCGTGCAAGACGCGGTCCGCAAGACGGTGGTGCAGCAGATCTCCGGCGTCAACTCTTGCAACTTTGTTGATGATAAGGGCGTGCGGGTGATACACACAGAGGGCGTCAACTTGCGAGCCATGCAAAGATACAGCGACTTCATCGACCCGAACCGCATTGAGACGAACGACATCGGCGCAGTGCTGGATGTGTACGGCGTGGAGGCCTGTCGGAGCAACATTGTGCGCGAATTGGGAGGCGTCTTCCAGTCACACGGCATCGCGGTCGACAGTCGGCATCTGAACCTGATTGCAGACTACATGACGAGGAACGGCGACTTCACAGCCTTCAGCCGCATGGGCTTGAGGGGCAACGTCAGCCCGTTCACCAAAATGAGCTTCGAGACTACGCTTGCGTTCTTGAAGGACGCTGTTTTGGATGGCGACTGGGATGACCTGACGACGCCGAGCAGCCGGTTGGTGATGGGTAGGCTGGGCAAGGTCGGAACGGGTGGCTTTGATGTGCTTACCCAGTTGCCGACGTACCATGTAGACTCGCTGGCGTGAGAAGCTGGCCAGCGAATGCTCCGAGGTGGCGCGCGCGGACGAGGATGTATTGGTGTGACAGTGCGATCGGGCGGTACGAAGTGAGTTGGTACGCGAAGGCGTGGGAGGGCACGCCTGTCAAGAAGACATGTGGGATTTGCGTTTGGCGCCTGCGCGCGTTTGTATCTTCGTTTTTCGTATCTTCATGCTAGAAATCGGGTTACGAGCCTACCCTCGTTCGACGCATGTCTCACAGCACCACACCTGTCTGTGGTTGAGCCGACGCGCATTTGAGACGTGAGCCGAGGCTGCGCTGCGCGCCCTTCTCGGCAATGTCAGTGGAGAGAGGGGGCGGCTCGCAGCGGCGATGTGTTTCCATGAAGGCATTGCCGCTAGGTATTCGGCTGCTCGGGGGCAAGCGGGGGAAGGCGGCCCCTACTGGGGCTAACTCGCGGTGGCTACAAGTACAAGCTCTCCCGTCGCCCACGACGGCCCGACCGGCACCTTGAAGCCACACCCAATTGAATTCCTGGACTCCCGGAGGTATCAACTTGCCTCCATCGTAGCACGCCGCCAACAGTCGCCTCGCTGGACGCCACCCGAACATGCCTCGCAACAAAATCACCCTCTACGTCGACACGGTCAGTCCGTTCGCCTACATTGCATACTACGTGCTCCGGGTATGTCTCCGCTCGCTCCCTCCCGCCGCCCACGCAGGGCACGCCAACTGACGCCGGCACAGCACCACGCAGTCTTTCAGGGGTGCGATGTCACGTATGTGCCCATCTTCCTGGGCGGCCTGATGAAGGCATGCGGCAACACGGCACCCATCAACATTACGAGTACGTACGTGGGTCGGGGGCCGCGCGCGCTGATCGGGGCGACGAAGACGGGAAGGACCAGGAACGGGACGAGAGCCTGCTGACCGCGGCGCTGCAGATAAGAAGGCGTGGATCAACCGCAACCGGCAGCTCTGGGCCGACACCCTCCAGGTGCCCATCAAGAAGGAGCTGCCGGACAACTTCCCGCCCATGACGCTGGGCATCATGCGCCAGCTCGCGGCGCTCGACGAGGCCGACGGCAGAGGCCGGCAGCAGCGCCTGGTGCAGGCACTGGACGCGCTCTTCCACGACTTCTGGGTGGAGCATCGCGAGACGCACAAGCCCGAGGTGCTGGGCTCGCTCTTGGGCAAGGTCCTCGGCAGCGACGCCGCCGCCACCGTCGCCGCAGAGGCCTCCGGCACGGGCAAGGCGGCTCTGCTACGCAACACGGACGAGGCCTTTGCCGCTGGTGCCTTCGGCCTCCCATGGATGGTGTGCACCAACGCGGCCGGCCAGACTGAGTCATTCTGGGGCGTCGACCACCTCGGCCAAGTGGCTACCTTCCTCGGCTTGAAGCGTCCGGAGGCTGGCGGATGGAAGGCTCTGCTTTGAACGAGACGACGAACAGTGTTGGGTGCGCTCTTTCGCAGCGGCTTCGGTTTGCTTATCGCTTGCGGGCCTCGTCCCATGTACTGTACTCGTATTTGCCCAGCGAGCGGACCATTTGTACGGCAGCCATCGAGAGCTCCGTGAAACACAGTTGTCCGAGCTTGCGACTTGAGCTAACCGCAGGCCCAGGCTAGCCATCGTGAGGCCGGGCAGGCGGTGTTGAGGCGCTGGCTCCCGACTCGACCTAGCTCATCATCAGGGGTAGCACCTGCACATCTAGAGCGATCACTATTACGTGCTGCTTTTATTAGCATGAGTATCCAAGACAAGTTCCACGTGGCCAGGCAATGCCTTGATCGGACTCGGGCTGCTCGCGCCAGGTGGGCCGACGTGTGGCCACAATAACAATCCCACGCGATGACGCGTCGTGCGCGCCTCGCCTGTTTACATCGCCTCCATGTCACCTTTCCGCGTCGATCACTTCACTTTTGGTGTACGCTTTGCATGTAGAAATCATAGACCGCGTCCGGTCCAGTTGCATTCCGCGGGCGCCCAGGCCGGCTTGTTTGCCTGGTATAATGTACATCCCAACTGTGGTGCAAAGCAAGTCTCATTGTAACGCCGTGATTAACCCCCGACCCATGATTCCATCGTCAAAAGCAAAAGTCGTAAAGCCCATGGCTATATCCCGGATCCCATCGTCTAGTTGCGCTCACCGCGCAGGCGGCGGGCAAGCTGGATGTCCTTGGACTGGATGGTGACGCGCTTGGCGTGGATGGCGCACAGGTTGGTGTCCTCGAAGAGAGAGACGAGGTAGGACTCGACGGACTCCTGGAGAGCACCGATGGCCGAGGACTGGAAGCGGAGGTCGCTCTTGAAGTCCTGGGCGATTTCACGGACCTGTGAAGGAGTGTTAGTGGTGTGTGATGCGTGCGGCTCGAGGGGTGCGTGTAACTCACCAGACGCTGGAAGGGGAGCTTGCGGATCAGGAGCTCAGTCGACTTCTGGTAGCGACGAATCTCACGAAGAGCGACGGTACCGGGCTTGTAGCGGTGAGGCTTCTTGACGCCACCGGTGGAGGGGGCGCTCTTGCGGGCTGGGGTGAGGCGCGTTAGCAGGTGCGCCAAGTAGTGTTGATGACAGGCCCGTGCAAGTGACGGAGATGTCAGGAATAGGGTGACTCACCAGCCTTGGAGGCAAGCTGCTTGCGAGGAGCCTTGCCACCAGTGGACTTGCGAGCGGTCTGCTTGGTGCGGGCCATTGTTGTTGATGATGTTGCGCGTGTGTTGTTGATGGGCGGTGTGGGGTTGGTGACGAAGTGGGTGTGAGATGCAGGAGGAAAAGTTGGGAGACGGAGGTGGGCGGGGGGGCGCTTTAATACCTTTGGCCGGCACAGGCAAGGCGCGGCGGCTGATCTGAGAAAATGCGTTGCGCGCTAGTGGGCCGTGCGCCTTTGGTTTTCCCTGCGTCAAAGTGTGTGTGTGTGTGTGTGTGTGCGTGTGTGACACGGATTTTCGGACTGACGCGCTGAGCGGGGGGGGCGGACGGGTTCACTAATTGAAAGGCAGTCATGCCAGAAATCGGGTTCCAGAGGGGCGCGCGCAGGGGTGGGGGAGCTGCCGTTTGGAAATGCGCAGGCGCGGCGCAGTGTGGAGATTGGCAAGAATGCCCGGCGCCCCTGTTCTCCATGCTTTTGGCGACGGGCGGGGCAGCGCCCCCGGGCAGCGCAGCGCTGTGCGGCGCCCGGCTGCCCTTGGCGACCGAGACAACGTGAAGACACACTGCCCGGTTCGCGTGCTCGCCGCGACCGCGCTCTGCGTGCGTCAAATGTCCAGGCGTCGCGTCGCCGCCGTGCATTGTGCGTCTCGGTGTTGCTTAGGCACGCATGTATACCTACCTAGGTGCGCATACACGTGCCCCGTACCTTCTCTGGTCCATTCATCACGAGCATCTCAGTACACACTCGGCGCCTCGCCCAGCCTGGCCTGTGCGCACGCTTGTCGATAAGGCCTGGGCGGCGTCGTTGCAACCGCGCCGCCTGCGTGTGGTGCCTGGCCTGTCCGTGTCACGGCGTGCACGACGTAACCCGATGTGGAAATTTGCAGTGGGTCTTCCGTGCAACCGGTGCGCCGATTTTTGATTGGCTACGGGCTGCATTATACACCTCGGCGGTTGTTACACTTTATTGCGGCGTCAATGCGAGGACACCATTTATTTACCCTACAGCCCCTCGACGGTTATCTTCCACACATGTGGTGCGTACGGGCAGAAGTAATTATAAGCATTTCGCCTCTTGACGTGTTGCTGCTGTATTGTTCGTGGCCTTGAATCGACTCGCGTATTCGTCTGGTTCGTGTTCTGCATGTGTCTCGTTGCCTGTTGTAAAGGTTCCGTATACCGCGTGGTGCCAGTCGTTTGCCGATGCAGTTGGTTCAAGATACGTAGTACCACGGTCAAGACCACGACCGCTCGACAACATATAGCCATGAACGTTATTAATATGTATGGCTGGCAGACAGCAGACAGCCCCGTCGACGCCATACGGGTCGGAGTTTAGATGCCATGTGTGCGCACACCTGGCGGTGACCAAGAGCCATCGCCCTGGCATGCCGTAAATGGCAGGCAGATATCCATCACGGGCTCCCAATGCACAGTGCAATAAACCATTGCACGAGGTTCGGTGATGTGGTGCAGTGCCCGCCGAGTTGGTCACACCTAGGATGTTCACACCCCACATACAATGCCCGCACGGTAGCGCGAAGCGTTGCACGCATACAAGCAGTACAGGGAATACTCATGGACACGATCCGTCGCTCACATCGACAAAGACAACTAACAGTCCTTGCTCTCCGGTACGCTGCGTCTGCCTTGTCCACCACAATGAACCGTCGAGGTCGTGCATCGGTGCCTCACACATGGCATAGGGTACCAGCGCCATGTGCGTACTCGTACGTACCCTACCGGCGGATACATGCCGTACGTGCAACGTAAATGACACCCGTACAATCGCTCCATGGCCGCGTTCCCTTACATGAGAGCCATGGCGGTTGGAACCATGCACGCACGAGATACCACACGAGCACGTCCCTGAGGTTGATACACCACGCACTACGTACGTACGTACCTGCGTAGCACGTACAGCCACAGGCCAGCCATCCCAAGACATCTCGAACGTGCCGGATGTCCCGTCCCGTGTTGTTGCCAGTTGGCGCGTCTCTCTCGTTTCATGCCTGTTTGCGCTGTGGAGCTCCTCCTCCCTCCCGTCACGCCCACCCCCCGGCTGCCGCGCCCCCGGCACACGCAGACGCGCGCACGCGCCAGTGCCCCCATTCGGCCGTGGCATGTTTTTTTTCCCCTCCCCCCCGGCACAATCAGTCGCGCATCAGCCCCAGGCGACAAACTGATCTGTGATTCGGCCCACCTGTACTTAAGCTCGCCCGCCGCCGCCCCTACTGCGCCTTTGTTGACCACCACCCCATCTATCCCTATCCCACCTCATACTGCCATTCGCGTAATTGTCCGCGACAAAGAACCCGACCTCAACGCTACCCACCAACCACCCATCACAATGACTGGACGTGAGTCATAACTGCCCACAACGGCCATCCATGTATACAGCCGAAGGCAGACAATGCTAACCAGCCATGCGACAGGCGGCAAGGGCGGCAAGGGCCTCGGCAAGGGCGGTGCCAAGCGTCACCGCAAGATTCTTCGTGACAACATCCAGGGTATCACCAAGCCCGCTATCCGACGTCTCGCTCGTCGTGGCGGCGTCAAGCGTATCTCTGCCAGTAGGCCCCCCCTCCACCATGGAAGCCTGCACAGGCGCAAGCAACACGCAAGCTGACACGCGATCCTCATAGTGATCTACGAGGAGACCCGTGGCGTCCTCAAGACCTTCCTCGAGGGCGTCATTCGCGACGCCGTCACCTACACCGAGCACGCCAAGCGAAAGACCGTCACGTCATTGGATGTCGTCTACGCGCTCAAGCGACAAGGCCGCACCCTGTACGGTTTCGGTGGTTAAGCGATTGTCTTTATTGCATGTCCGTTACGAATTTGTTCGCCTTGGGCGCGTCTCGTTTTCCCCGCCGTTCGGGGCCATGTTGGGGTGTTTCATGATGACTACGGATCCGGGTCTTGGGTTTTTAACGGGTGTTTTTTGTACCATATCAGGGAAACGGCGGTCTACATCTCGGGGATAATGGAACCCCGCTCAAACAGAGCTCAATAACATCGACCATGACCCAGCGCGCTGCCCCCGTGACCTGCCGCGCGTGACGCGTCCCGGGTTCTCGCGTGCCGGGTGTGTGACGACCTGCCTGCGCGAACCAGAGCTCACTGAGGGAGCCGACGCAAACCCGTACAAGTATCCGAAGCCTTTTTTGGCCGTGACAAGGCCACGCTGGTAGGCCAGCCCCCACAAACCACGGTGAGCATGGCGGCGAGGGGATGTGTACTCGCGTGCTGGCGTGTCGGAGATATCCCAATGTAGGTACCCGTCCGCGAGATCGATGGGCTCGCTACGTCTCGCCGATGTGTTGCGTTGGCGGTTGTGCGTTGCCGATGCTCCTGGACGCGGACTGTCGTCAGGATGGCACCGACAATGAATGCCAGATGGACTGACCGGGCGCCCTCATCTGGACCGGCCTGGGGCGTTCTCGAACATCAGCTGCCCCGGGTTCCCACGAGTTGCGGGCATACCTCACTCAGTCTGTCGCACTGAGTCACTCGCGGGACCGGGCAGTTGCAATCTGGTCATGGGACCGAACGGGCTGCGCTAGACATGAGCGAGGAATCTCGGCGAGCTGCTTCGGAGGAGGGGCGACGCGAGGGCGACCCGGTGCCAGCTGGGCTGGCTCCTGGCAGAGCGCGCAACTGAAGCGGCCTCTCTGACACCTGGACGGGGTCGCAGCACCAGCGCCGTATCCCGGGCAGCGATGGGGTCGACGGCCGCACTCGAGTCTGTTGGCGCCTCACCTGCCTTGCCCGGCTCTGGACCGCGATCCGTCGCAGCGCTGCGCCTCAAGCCAAAGTCACTCCTGTGCTAATACAACTGACCAGAAGACAATACCCCGGGGACTTTGCCGTAGCTTCTGGCAGTAGTGCCTTGGTGGGCGAGGCCGTGGTTGTCCCGCCTCCCTTCCAGGTCTGTCTCATGGCACTGCCAGGCAAAGTGGAGGGATAGGTATCGCGCCGAGGTGGCAGCTGCTGCGTGCTGCTGCTTGTCACGCCCTCCAGCCCATCTGCTCCCCCTCACTTCCGTCTTGGCAGCGCGTCGACCTCGCGGGGTGGGCCTGCCGAATCTGGGACCCCAAAGACCCCTCCGGGGCGGCCTAAATTTAGGTACCCGCCCAAAGTTATCACGGGCACCTCAGTGAAAACACCTACGGAGCAGAATGTCCCCACCGCACCTCGTCGAGAAGACGACGTGGTGCAGCGCACCCTCGACGTTGCCAACGCCTTGCCAACGCCGCCGGCGCGTCCTGACATCCTGATTACCTGGTGGTACCATGAGCAACTCGAGCCTGCTATGCTCCGTGCTCGTAGACGCACATGTATTCGGGACAAGACGGACGGCACGGGCATGTCCGGTTGCGCCAAGGCGCTGGGCCTGTCCAACATCAACTGCAGGTCTCAGGCTTCCAGGGTTTACCGACCCGCGGACGGGCAACCTTACAGAGGTTGAAGGTTCCAGACGAAGCACGGACAGCCGTCACCCCCGCACCACAGTGGCCACACCACACCACACCACCACCCCGCCAGTGCGGTAGCCCACCTGGGCCAGAGCTGCCGCGGCTCGGCGGTGCAACAGCCCCCTGCCGCCGCTGCACAGCACGGCAAAAGAGAGGGAAAAAAAGGTTGTTGCAGGCTCCCGGTGGTCTGGTGGAGGGGCCCGCGCTTCGGGCGCTGCCGCCGCATGCCGAGATCGAGCCGAGCGCCGGCGGCACCGCGCTAGGGAGCGAGAACAGCCCGGCGCATCGTCCCCGTCCGGCCGTGGCCTGATGCGCTGATGGTTTTGTTGCTGGGCGGTGCGTCCCTGATGATGCCGCTCGCGACGCGGGACCAGCTCTCTCGCTCGCCCACGCTGACCATCCAGAAGGCACCTGAGGTACTAATGCGCTGGCATGCGCACGCTCCGCGCACGCTCTGCGCGGGTGCGACGCGGCCCCGGTTGAGCTGGCGCGTACAGGCACGTTTGAGCTACGACCTGGTACTAGAGGCAGAGCGCATGCATGCGTCGCGGCCCCCGGGGACGCGTCCGCGACGCCGTCGGACGGGCGGTGCTCTATAGCACCGAGCGCATGGTACGACGCGCGCCGCCGTAGCAGCCACCTCGCCGACGACCCGGGCACCAGAGGCATCCACCGATGGCGTCCACGCCGGTACCTCAGCATCGCACAGCGCAGCGCAGCGCAGTGTTCGGCGGGACACGGCGCACACGGAAGCGAGCCAGATCTCTGGACCCCCGGGCGAGAACCGATCGGGCTGAGGTGAGGGTGGCTGTCGAGGTGGTCCCCGGCGCCGGGGGTGTGGCTTGGCTGGCTTGGCTGGGTTCCAGTGCGTTCCAGCGGCTCCGTACGCAGTGTCCGTAGGTAACCTTCCATTGCCAAGCGGGCTGAGGGGTCCCAGACGGTGTTGCGCACCATGAGCCGCTGAGCTAGTGCCCGCCTGCCACCCCAACCCACGCCCCCAGGCTGCTCGCCGGTGGCTAAGCACCTCGCCCTAGGTAGGTGCTGAGTTGCTCAGGTGTCCTCCGTGCTGCGGGCGCCCATCAGGGCACCCTGCATCCTCCAGCCGCGGCGCCGGCGCACCGTGCGTGTGTGGACGGAAACCCTGAAGAGCTGGAGGTGGAAAAATTTCCCACCCCAGCCGACCGACCGACCCTATGCAGGTCCCGTCGGCGTCACCGAAGTCTCGGCTCCTGCGCAACCCAGTCTTCCACGCGACTTTGTCCGTTCTAGAAGCGCGACCGACGGATGCGAGATGCAGCCAGGGAGGGAAAGAAAAATTCTTGCCTCTCTTGCAGCTCTTGTTGGTGCCCTCTGCATTTGCCTCGCTCCAGGCATTGTTCCCCGTCCGGGCACCACCCACCCCCCTCCCTTGTTTTTGTTCTTGCACCCCTTTGCCATTCCTGGCGAGGCGGGAGGAACGGGTACTCGTCGCCGTGCCTCGCCATGTTCGGCCGGCTCCATCCAGAACCCGGTGTTCCCAGTGGGCTACCCTGCAGTGCCCGAGGCCCTCGTCATCAGATCGGGGAACCGGCCGTGCAGCGTCGAAACGGACGGAAAAGATGGCCTCCCAAGCCTCCCTCCCAAGCTTTCCGCGCTCACACCACGCATTGTCCAGAGGCAGCTTAGCAGGGACTCATAGAGACGTCATGTGACGCGAAAGCGCCTGCTGGTGTGGAACACAAGGGAGTGTGGCGGAAGCTCGTGGATGACAGGCGGCTCCGTCATCGCGTGGCTCGTGAAGGTGGCTGTGCCACGCACGCACATACACACACGCCCCTCAGCTCATACCTTACGAGTACGAGTAGTGAGTACGGAGTGCGCAGTACTGTCCAGGCATGGATCGGGTGCTTGGTAATACGAGGAAGCGCCCAGTACCTACGTTGCTGTACCGTCCAGAGACGAGGCGCGGCGAGGCCAGGCCACCGAGCTTCCAAATTATTCGATCCCTCCAACCCGGGTGCGCGCAATTGCCAGGAGCGTGGCCGACCAGCGTGTCCCGCTTCGTGAAGCCAGAAGACGTCACCGCTTGCCGGGCGATGGCCAGGAATGCCAAATCGGGATCTCGCGGCGGGGGGGTTCCAGCGGCTCCTGGACCGTGCTGCGGGACAGTCCCCCTAGGCGGACGGTAGGTACTGGGGACGCCTTGCACAGTGCGAGCAGATGACATCTCTAGTACGGTTCGGTTCTGAGTGGCCCAGGCGACACAGGACGGGAAGCAAGCATGCAAGCAACAACCTGGAAGGCCCGTGGGGGAAGAAAAAGTGGAAATGGCCTGCGGGAGCACTGTGGAATCATGCCCAGTGGCCGTCGAGGGCTCGCCAACGGCACGAAGCCAGGCATCCAGGGCACACGCCGTTCGCGCCGCGGCATGAAGCTCGCTACACCGAGCTGGCTGAGGCTGCCCTGCCGAGGGCGACGTCGCCGGGCGCTGCGCTGCGCTGCGCTGCGGCGTGCAAGTCACCGCCGTCGGTCCCGTCCCCTCCAGCTCGTCCAAACCCGTCTTCCGTGTTCGGTCGGCCGGCGTCCGGTCATGATACCAAGGTACCCTTGTGCATCAGGCACCATGCCAGCACGAAGCCCCATGGCGTCATGGTCCCCTTTTGTGCCAAACAGGACGCCGGTGACGAGCGGCCACGGCCATTCGCTTGGCGACCCCTGCGGCGTTGACGACGTTGCACGTCGGCAGACACTTTGGAGCGCGCCAGCCAATACCAGGCACTCGTACATGCCCGAGGGACACACAAAGCATCGGAAGGTGACGATCGGAGGCCCCCCCCAAAAAAAAACACAGTGCGCAGAAAATGCCGTTCGCCGGTACCCGGTACCCGGTACCCTTTGCACTGGCCGCCCTGCTCCCTTGGCCATGACAGCGACAAGACCAGCGGCCGCGGTGGAATCAGGGTCTCGGGCTCTGTGGGGCCCGATTGTGTAATCGGGTGGGCGCCGCCTCGAGGAACTCCGCCAAGTCCACGTCCACCCCCTTCCATCCCAGCATTCTCCACCCCCTCCCTCCCACCTTTTGGTGCCCACCCCACCCCCCTTCCCGTCCTGCATGCAAAGGGAAAAAACGACAGGACGACTCACCCGTTCCCCGGCGCCATGGCCGTGCCTCTGACGCCGTGGCCGGCCCTGCCGGCCCTGTCTGCTTTATAAACGCCTGCCCGTCCTGGTTTTCGCCACTGGCCTTAAGATGGACCCGACACGCAACCTCCAAAGCCTTGGTCCTTGATCATCATGATCTCCTTCTTTGGCCAACCCGAGAACAATCATCACCTTCGCCTCTTCACAAACGACCAGCACGATCACGACGAGCAGCAGAGGCAGCAGCAGCACTTCCTACACTTCGACTCGCACGATCTGCCGCTCCCCTCGTCGACTCTTGACCTGCTCCAAGGCACTGACGACAGCGTCCTGACCGGCGAACACATGCAGCCCGACGTTTGGGCCTCGCCCGCCCAGTTCACGTCCAAGCTTGGTCGCTACTCTCACCAGCGCGAGTCGTCCCTGTCGTCGCTCGCCTCCACCACCGGCCCGGCGTCTCCTTTCGCGGGCACTACCTCGAATCCCCAGATCGCCATCAACGACTCCGCCGTCGACAACATTCCTGAGATGCACTCACACGACACGACCACGGCCGCTCAAGGAAACACATTCTACCAGCTCCCCAAGTCCATGAACCCTTACGCCAACTTCCACAACTTTGACGGAGGCCTGTCCGAGATGGCGTACCCGATAGCCGTTGCTCCCGCGAAGAGGACCCGACCCGATAGAGGCCTCCTGCCGGCACCAGAGTTCCCTGCTGGCAATAACGCCTCGCACCCGGCTTCGGTAGCCAGCTCCATTGCTGGCGATTCGCCTGCGACGCCAGGTATGGGCGAGACAACAGATCACGTTGACAGGAGGAGAAACGGTACGTCGCCTGTTCCGTGCGAGCCACGTGGTGGCGTCGACGATAATGTGCTCATCGATTTCGCAGGTTATGGAAACGTACCGAAGCTGGACAGAACCATGACCGACGTATACGGCGATGAGCTGTACAACCCCAACTTCACCATCACATCGACATCGCCTGCACGCATACCCGTCACTTCCCCCACCAACGACCTCTTCAGCCAGCGCATCAGTGCGGCCAACAGTCACCACCTTAGTGCGGCGCATTCTCCTTCCTCTTCAATATCGCGTGCCCGGTCGCCGTTCCGCAATGGTTCTCCATTTGCGGCGCCTTCTGTGCACGACACTTCCTCGGACTATTCTCTGAGCAATGGCCGAGGCATAGCGAAACACAACAGAACGACGCAGGAGCCCCAGATGCTTGCTCAACATGACCGTGGCCTAGAGCCCGAGACACCCAAGACCATCTCGCCTAAGGATGCTGTTCTCGAATTCACTGATGCGGACAACGAAGGCAACTTCCCACTATTCCCCCAGGATCCGGTCAACTTCGGCATGGATTCTCTCGCAAACAAGGGCGTCTTGGAATCAGGGGTGGACGGATCCTACCTGCAAGCCAACGGCGGGAGCGCACCTGCTGCGATGGCGTTTATGCCATCCCAGGTGAGCCTCGGCATTCAGGTGCCACAGCAGTATCCGTTCATCTCACGGCCTGGCTTGGGGCATGATACTCCGCCCAGACTGAGTTCGTCGGGCTCAAGCTCCGTTGGGTCGAGGCTCAACACCCCGACGACTGTGACACGCCCAGCCGCCACAGGTGCCGAAGGTGGCACGTACACTTGCACGTACCATGGCTGCACACTCAGATTTGAGACGCCGTCGCTGCTACAGAAACACAAGCGAGAAGGCCACAGGCAAACGCAAGGCATCGGCAGTGGTGGAGATTTGGGCATGACTTCGAATCTGCTCAACACCCAGGCCGGACCGCATCGTTGTGACCGAATCAACCCCAGCACTGGTAAGCCATGCGGCACCATCTTCTCGCGGCCATACGACTTGACGAGGCATGAGGACACCATCCACAACGCCCGCAAGCTGAAGGTCCGATGCGACCTGTGCACCGAGGAAAAGACTTTCAGCCGAGCCGATGCTCTGACGCGACATTACAGGGTGTGCCACCCTGATGTGGAACTCCCTGGAAAGCACCGTCGTCGTGGAGGCGGCTGAGCTGGGTGCTGGTGAGCAGCGCCGGGCTGGCACAGCGGGTGGACATGGCGCGTGGAGGCGGGCTGGCCGCATGGATGGCCTTCCAACCTCACCCCTTCCCTTGTCCGCCATGACGACGTTGTGCTCAGGACAGAATCAGCCACTCGCGGACTCGAGCGGCATGCGGACCCGCTTTTGTGGACCCAAGGGTCCTCCTGCAGACTGCAGGGTCCGCCCCGCTCCCCGCTGACGTCACGATGCCTGATCGTCGACGACCGGTGACATCACCGCACATCGATCCACAGACCTGAGCTGCTTGTCACCATCATCGCTGCACAAGCGCCTTGGAAAAGTCTCGGACGACTTGGAGCCCGAGCCATCCAAAGCAACGTATCCGCCTCGACGCAGCGCCAAGCACATGCTGCTATTATGGGACGCACGGCTTTGGTGGTGCAGCCCTGCCATCAGGCGCGCCTTCGGAAAGCCCCTGTCACCACCCTTCGCGGCGTTGCTGATGCTGGGGTGATGTCTTGATCGGCGCGTCGGATCCGTGTTCAGAAAGCTACCCCCTCCCGACTCGGGCCTGTCAGCGGGTACTTGAGATTTACCAGCTCTGCAACCCACGGTGCGGATATCTGTCCTGCCACCTTCTATTGAGTAGGGTTTTTCTCGCCGCTCCGTCGGCACCGCATCGAGGAAGCCCGTCACACCGGCCACCAGGGGCCTCCTCGTCATTTGCCTGCTTTCACTAAGCTGGCCTGTACTCAAGCTATGTAACATCATTGGAACGAGGGCTAGATAAAAGAGCGTGAAAATTATGGCGAAGTTTGATATGTTGTCTGTTATGTTTTTTCCCCTGTCTTTTGGGTGGGCTTTTGCTGTTACATATTCGGTTGTATGATACTGGAGATGAAACGGGATGCATGGCTGCGCGGTACAAAGGCATTGGCGGAGATGCGATACGACGAACATGCACTAGCGACATTGGGCCTAGAAAGATACCTTTATGATTTTTTCCGTCATCAGAACGAACAAATCTTGACGCAACAAGAGCAATACGAACAAAGATCCTCCCAACCTGCTCGCTTCATGTCAAATTGACGCAATATTTCCATGATTCGATGGGGCAGGGAAGATGTGGCCACGAGGAGTGGAGCATCAAAAACAGTGATACAATCTTCACTCGCGCCGAGAATCGAACTAATAGTGGTGATACCAGGACCTCTTTGAAATGGGCTACGTGTCCGCAGTGTCCGGATTGGTTGTCCTACACTTCCGGAGTCGAGCCCAAGACGGCATTCCGAGCGTCTTCGTAACAAGGAGCAATGCCAGTCCACAAGTCAAACTGTGAGTAGAAGCCAGGTTAGGTGAACATGCGCGGACAAGGCTAGTGAGCAATAGCGGACGTACCTGGTACCATCCCTGGGATGCCAGCACCTCCAGCCCGGGGATAACGGTCCATCCTCCAGCTTCCTCAGCCAATTGCATAACAGGGGTGACGCGTGGCTTGTATGCCATTTCGAGTAGCACACGACGCCCTGACTGATCGCCTTTGTCCCCCCGCCCCATTGCTAGCTGGACAAGTTCCTGCACCGCAGTATCGATAGGCCTATCTGCCGGAATGGTACTGACGATGACGGTCGGACCTCGCTTCATGCAATGGATATCCGAGGCACTCGCCACGACTTGAAGATTGTAGTCGCTCGGGAAGTCTCCGACCAAGGTCTTGACCTTGGCCGGGTCGCGACCAACAACATGAATGGAGCTGAACCCCATGGACCGCAATGCAAAGATTGCGGCCCTTGTCGTGCCTCCGGAGCCCACGACCATTGCACAGGAGTCCGGCTCAGCAGTGGCCACTCCGCCGCGTGTCAATGTGAAGACCATCCCCTTCCAGTCTGTGTTGTCGCCAACAAGGCGACGGCCAGATTTGTCATTTACAGGCACCACGGTGTTGACCGCGCCGATGATCTGGGCGGCTGAAGTGAGTTCGTCAAGGAGGTCCATGACATCCCGCTTCAGGGGGATCGTGACCGAGGCACCGCCAAAATCGGAGCTACGCAAGACGCTCCGCAAATTCGCGACTTCATCAGTCTCCAGTCGCTCGTATTCGTGCGGAAGCCCCGTCAGTCGAAAGAGGGCATTGTGAAGTGCGGGCGACCTAGATTGGGCGATCGGCTTGCCGAAGAGGTAGAACCGCAATGGATCAATCTCACCCAAAAGGGCCAGGCTCTGCCAGATCTCGGCTGCCGACATCTGGCCCGGCGCAGCTTTGAAGGGCAGGTCTGGATGAGAGACGGGGGTAAGGAAGCCGTTGAGAACGCGACTTAGCTTTCCCGCCTGCCCCATATTAATGGCAATCAGAGGAGTCTTTTGCTCGGCCAACATGCGACTCTTGAAATTCATCAGGTCAAAGTTGTCCTCCATGGTCGCCGCCACCCCGACCAGCTTGACTATGTCGCCGAACTGGAGCGCTTTATTGTAATAGGGAATCCACGATGCATTCTTCCACGAGAGTGCTGCGGGGGGGTCGTGGTGCGAGGCGATGATCCGCGTGTTTCCTTTTTGGTCGGCAACAGCCTGGACTGTGCCGTCGGAGGCTGTCAGCTCAACATCGAGATACTCGACGCCCGACTTGAGAGCTAGTCGGTAGAGTTCCAGTCGGGCATCATGGTCATCATCGGGAAATTTGCCACCCTGCGATTCGCTGCGGACCGTGAAGATGATGGGCTTCTTGGCAGCGTGTCGCAAGATGGATACTTGAGCCATGACGGCGTCTGGACTTCTGTCTGCCAGAAGATCCACTCGAAGTTCAACGGCGTCTGAACCGACAACCACACGAGGGATCAGATGTGATGCGTCAGCGAGGTCAGGCAGCGTCAGCGACACGAAGAAGCTCTGCCGCTTCCCGATCACGGTTTGCAAGTGAGAGGTGTTTCCACCCAGTGCAGCCACGAATCGCCCGAAGTCCTCGGGAATCCCTGAGCCGCAACCAAGATCTTTCGTGTGCGGGCTGTAGTAGACGTAGTTGCTGCATGCCTCGTACCATGGCTTGCGTCTCAGGTAGACTTGGCGGATCTCGCTGGTGTACGCCGGGCGGGTCTTGTCTCTCATAAGGTATTCCACGACCTTGTCGGTACTGCGGTGTACCAGCACAACTCGACCACCGTTGCGACAGTATGCTGTCAGAAGTTCCCTGGCCTCTGGGGTTTCGACGATCCCTCCGCCACATGAGAAAACGTGGCGTTGGGCCTGCTTGTCCATCACGTCGCGCAACAGTGCCATCTCGTCCTCGCGAAAGCCATCCCAGCCCCGGTGGCCATTGATCATGTCCGGTATGGTCTGGCCTGACCGCCTCTCCAGTTCCTGGTCGAGGTCCACGAAACGCCAGCCGAGCAGATTGGCCATCCACCGCCCCGCCGTGGTCTTGCCTGCGCCCCTCATGCCGATAACGACGATGGAGCTCTCCGATTTTGCATTCGGCTTGACCTCGTGGTGAATAGATGCCCCTAGATCGGAGCCATCCAAGTCGACCTGAAAGCATCGAGAGAGGACATCCCACCACCCCGGCCATGTTTTGCCGACACATTCGCGCTCGGTGATGACCGTAGGACCTGGAGATACCACGGAAAGAACACTGAAGCTCATGGCAACGCGGTGATCGTCATAACAATGCACACCAACGGCAGGCCGGTGGACGTTGTCCAGTGGTATTCCGTGAACTTCGATGCCATCGTCCAGTTCATTGCAGTGAACACCAAACTTGGCCAACTGGTCCTTCATAGCCTCGATGCGATTGCACTCCTTTACGCGCTGATTTGCGATGCCGGTAATCTGAGTCTTGCCGTCAGCGACGGCGGCCAGTACAGACGCGGTCAAGAAAGCGTCGGTCATGGGCTCCATATCGACATGCGGAAGCGCCTTGAGGGTCCCAATCGGGGGACCGGTAATAGTCGTCGAAGTCGCCGTTTGGTGAACGAGACAGCCCATGGGTCGCAGGACTTCAATGGCAAATCGCGCATCACCCTGGAGTGACTCGGATCCGATATTGGGCACTGTGCACGTCGTCCCTGTGATGGCTGCGACGGCAAGAGGGTAGGTGGCCGAGCTGGCGTCGCTCTCGATGATGTACTCGGCAGGGTTCTGGTACGAGGCCTGCGGGATGTGGTACGTGTCCGCTTCGGTCGTGGACTTTGTCACGATGACACCGAAAGAGCGCATCATGGAGATTGTCATGTCAATATACGGCTGCGAGATTGGCTTGCCACCTACTAGGCGGAGCGTGACCGGGTTCTTGGCATATGGCGCCGCCATGAGGATGGAGGAGACATATTGGGACGACACCGTTGCGGCGAGCTCGATGACGCCACCCTTGAACCCGCCAGCGGCATCCACCCGTATTGGCAGACTCTTTTCCTGCTCGAGATACTCAATCTCGACGCCATTCAGACGTAGGGCGTCGACAAGGGGTCCGATGGGGCGCGTCTTCATCCGGGCGTTGCCGGTCAAAACGGTCGAGCTAGCGGTGTCTGTGGCCGTGCAGAGGGCAACGACGGTTGTTAGAAAGCGAGACGCAGTGCCGGCATTGCCGATGTACAATGCGTCGTTGCTTGCCTTGAGTTGGCCAGCCCTGCCCTCCACTTCGAGCACCTCGCCGGCATCCCGCCAAGCATAGGAAGCGCCGCCGAGCTGCGCAATGGCAGAGAGCATGTACTGTGTATCGTCGGAGTGGAGTAGGTTCTTGATGCGACAGCGCCCGGAGCCGAGGGCTGCCAGCACCAGTGCGCGGTTGGAAATGCTCTTGGAGCCGGGGGGTGTCACGGTGACGTCGAGCGAGGCGGGGACACCTGGAGCTACAGAGACGGAAGCCGACAGGATCGTCCTGATGCTCTGATCTGCCACTGCACTGGCTCTGGGCTCGTGGGTCTTGCCGATTGCTGACAGCAGGACAACCTTCTTCTGGCCACCATCGTTTTTCTTGTCGACGGCCATCTTTTGCAGCATGACGTCGACCGGACATTGCTTGCCTGCGGTGAGCTTGACGACGCGCTTGTCTTGAAGATTAGTGGGAAGGCCGTAGGCGGCAATGCACTTGGAAAGCCTCGCCACGGCGTGAGGACGCAGCACGCCAAGAAAGCGGGCCAACTCGGCCTCCTTGACCATGCCGATCGCCACTGCCTCGCCGTGGAGCAGCTGGGGGGTCAAAATGGCTTCTATGGCATGGCCGATGGAGTGGCCAAAGTTGAGAAGGTTGCGAAGACCGCCCTCGCGCTCGTCACTGGATACGACCTCAGCCTTGACTCTCGCCGAGCCGATGACGATTCGCTTCAGGGAATCCCGGATTGGGTGCAGTCGATTCGAACCCCGCGAACGGACGCAAGCCAAGATTTCGGCGGCGGACTGCTCCAGGGTCGTGAACTCGGCCTCATCCCATATAGCCGCCGTCTTGATTACCTCGGCCATGCCGTTGATGAACTCGCGGACAGGCAGGGTGTCTAGGAAGGCGAGGTCGATGAAGATCCGACGGGGTTGCCAGAAAGCCCCGACAAGGTTCTTGCCCATGGGAGTGTCGATGGCGGTCTTGCCGCCGATGGAGGAGTCGACCATGGCGAGCAAGGTGGTGGGAACCTGCACGAAGCGGACTCCCCGCATGAAGGTCGCTGCGACATAACCAATCATGTCGCCAATGACGCCGCCGCCGAGCGCAATGATGACCGTGTCTCTCGTGCATTGCTGCGAAAGCATCCAGTCTTCAATCTCGGCCTTGGTCTGGCGACTTTTGGACGCCTCGCCCGGCGGAATCGCGTAGGTCAGGAGGCGGGTGGCCTTAGCGCCTTTGTTGGCCTGGAACCATTGTTGGAAGGGCGGGACGTACGTCTCGTGCAGGTTCGTGTCGGTAATGAGGACATAGGTGGAGGACGGCGAGTGCTCGAGGAGGTCTGTAGCGACGTAGGCCGGCCAGAGTCCAAAGTCGGCGACGATGTTTGGCTCGCCCAGAATGGACAGCTTCTGGGGCGAATGCCCCTCGCCTGACACCATCGTCGGTGGTGGTCGTGGGTCCGGAGCGGCGTGAGGCCAGCGATTGATGACGGCCCAGGTGCTGCAGTTGCTAGCAGTGGTGTTGAGGGACACAGGCGTCCTCAATTGTGATGGACGGTGACACGTAGGTACTGCAGCAGAGCCGAGAAAAAAAAAGAAGAAAAAAGCGAACGTCCAACCCAGTGGTTCAGCGGATTCACGCAATGGAATTTGGTGGCATCTCCCAACGGGGCCGGTGTGGCTAGTGCAAGTGGGATGATCAGATTGGGCCCCCTCAAGCCCCTCCCCTCCGGCTGCTGTAAACGTATGACTCTATCGAGGTACCCTATGGCGCTAGATGCCCCGATATCGGTAACACCCCTGGTACGGTGGCTGGCCGCCTCCAACCTACTGACTGCTAACGTGCGAAGTAGTAGGCCCTCCAATTCGCAACGCAACCAGCCTCAAAAGTAACGTTAAGAAGTATCGTCGCCATGCATGATACAGAACTGTCCCAACGGCACTGAACGGCGTGTAGTTCGCAGTCCGTATTCTATGAACGCTACCCGCCTGGGCCTCAGGGTAGGCGCGAATAGGCGCGCTGTGATGGTAAACGGGGCATTCTCATATCACGATCAGCTGCATGGGACCCCCAAATCGTCAGCCGTCGGCCACACATACTCACGGGAATGGCCGTCCACTTGTACTCACCTCAATCAGCTTCTCCGTCAGACCGAAGCACTCATGCTTGACGTCGTCCAAGGACGCCTGAGACGAATATTTCCACAGGCCGCCGAAGCCCAAGTCGTCGAGGGCGTCGTTAAGGGGCTCGTTGGAAGCCATGGCCGCCGAGAACTCGTTGCTCGACGTCAGCGTCCTCAGCAGCGTGTGCGCCGCCTTAAGGGCCGTTGACTCCTGGCCGTGAAGGAGCACATCGTCAAGGATCGATGGCATGGCGCCACACCTGCGCTGCAGTCAGCCGCTGAGAACCTCTACAGTTTGTGTCTTCCGGAACTTACAACGTGACAAAGACACGGGGCCGGTTCGACGCCAGCTTGTTCAGCCACTGTAAGCTTCGCGTTTGAGCTGCGTCCTGCAGAAAGTGAAAGTCGACAAGCTCAATAACCGACGCGAGTAGAACGTCTTGGTCCTTTGCGCCACTCATGCCACTGGGTCCGCGGCCGTCAATCATGTCCTCGAATCCGTCAGGCCCAAAGTCCGCCCACCAGAGAGAGTCCATGAAGTCCTCGTGACCCGTGCACCGGGCGAGGATTAGGGCCAAGTATGGGGAGCCTTGCACCGCGTAGGTCGGTCCGGCAGGCGATGCGCCAGCTGTCCAAGACGTCATCTCCAGGAAGGCCGATAGGACGCGTATTGCCATTCGTCTGGTGACGGTGTCTGTGAGCCCTCGCACCAGGCAGGCACAAACAGCGAAGTGGAACGTCTCCTCGTCAAAGCAGATGCCGTACGCATCGTCAAGCGGCAACGCCGCCTCTTCCAGCTGCGCCCGGCTTTGTAGCAGCAGCGGCACCATTCTCTCACCTCTCGCGTTTCCGATTGTCCCAATGTTTGTCAGGACCGCCTCGAGAAATTGGGCTGCGCAGTTGAACAGCCCTGGCGGCACCAGACGGACCAGGGACATGGCCAGCCAGAAAAGCTGAAGCCCGTACCGCGACGCCGACGGCAGCTTCGCCATCATCTTAGACAATGAGGTGATGATAGAAACCAGCATCTCACTGTTTCCGTCTTCTCCAAACTGGCTGACACTGCTCCGCAAGGCGACTAGGATTTGGTAAAGGAGATCGTCGTCGACTTCCTCGCGGGCAAGGAAACCCATGACAGCAAATGCCCGCGGTTGCACGGCTGGGTTGTTCTGGAATGCAGTGCTCGCTACCAAGCTCATCCACCGGGACCGCCAGGCATTCGCAACGTCAACTGACGGCGCCGCCACGGAACATGCTTCTGACAGCACGGCAGCCAGACTCTCCGTCGCTGCCAAATGAGATGCAGCGTCCTGTACTGTAGTAGACACGGAGGCGCCGTCACGCGAGAGTACGGGGGGTAAGGAGAATATGTCACCTTTTGGCTCGCAAAGCAAGTCGAGGCATGCCCTTAGCCTCGAGAGTCTAGCGTCATCGAGACTGAAGGATGAGCAGGCTGCATGGACTGTGTTGACCAGTAGCCGGTAAACAAGCACTCGCACGTCCTGCCCGCCGGTGTTGGCAATTATGGTGACGATGTGAAATACCTCCGGCAGAAACATGAACGACTGGACCCCGCTGTTGAATGACAATGCCAAGCAGAACTGCAAGAGGACACAGATTTCAGTCCAGACTGCATTCTCTGCCAGGAAACGAGTGGGCCGCAGTGAGGAGCGGTTGAGTGCCTTGCGAAGCCGTGACAGCACTTTCCCACGAAGGCTCATGGTGCTCAGGCCAACCGCGGCTGATGAGAAAACCTCCAAAATGTCTGGTCGGCTGTCGTAGCTCAAGCCAGTTTTGATAAGTTCATCCAAGAAGATGTCCAACAGTTGCTCGTCTTGGGCGATCGACGGCCACACGTAGTGCTCGAGAGCATGTGCTAAGCCAGGCTCAAAGACGATCAAGTCAATGACTTTGCGAAGCAAGCCGGCCACCTTTTCACGGCCCTTTTCACCGTCCGACTCGCTAATCAGCACGTTAGTACGGAGGCCAGGCAGCCACGGCGCCATGTACTCCAGGCTTAGAGGTTTTTGCTCGTCTGCAAAGCTTTCCCAGCTGACAAAGAACTCGGTCAGGAAGTCTGCCGTGAGCTGCGGTTCGGTTCGCGCTAACTCCTTGCTCATACCAACTATGAAGCCGGTGGGGTCTGCTGGGACCGAGAGATCTGATAATGGTCAGCTGCGTCGAGCGAAGGTATGGAGGATCAAATGGTTCTCTGGCGTAGCGGATACTGGGACCTCGACTCACCTTTGGCACAAATCAGTTTTGATGCGGCGTCGAAATTGAATGCACGGCACAGCGCACCCAAGAGGTTGTATGATGCGAGTCGGAGCACATGATCTGGGCTCGCTAGGTTCGTGAATGCGAGGTTAAGCATGGTGCCCGGCACGTCCTGGGGTCGGATCAATCTCTCAAACGGCTTGTGGACCCTGCTTTCCTTGCCGTGCTTTCCCTTGGCACTGCGAATGGTCTGAAGCACGTCCGCCTTCTTGGGGCTCGTGAAGCACATGACGATTTTGCCGCCATCAGCGCGAAGTCCGAAGGACAGCTCGTCATCTGGCTGGACCGTCGTTGCCGCCTCATCCACTTCGCCAAGCCGAAAAATGTCATTCACGGTGCTGCTGAGACGGGAGCCCGACAATACTTCCTGTCTCTTCGCAGTCGTAACCTGAACGAACTGACTGCCAACCTTGATGACCACTTCCACTTTGCCTTTGGACTTGGAGAGCCGAGTGACAGGTTGGAACATGTACCGTGTGTCGGTAACTACGCTGATTGTTTCCTTGGGGAGATGAAGCTGGCTCAGGTGAAAATGCGCCTGCAGATCTTGCAAGCTGCCTATCAGATGGTAGCCTACATTGTCGGGATGGAAAACACTGCTGTCGTTCCTGGTCGAGACCCGGAGCAGTCGCCGCAAGCATCTCCTGTGTCAAATGTCAGAGCCAGTGTCAGCCAATGAGGCACACCCGGTCGTTCTTACTTGAAGGCGCTGTTCATGTTGTATATATATATCCTAGAAAGATTGAGTGACATTTCTGAGGGCGTCAAAAGGTCAAGATTGGTGAAAAAATCGTCCGGCGGTTCGCCTCGTCCATGATAACAGGTCGCATCGATGAAAAGGCCGAATGGTTCGTGCCAAAGCCTGCTTGCAATCTTTGACGCGCTGTCAGCATGTAGTGTCATCCATCGCCGTGCTGATGCGGGCTCCAGCGTTGTCAACAAGGACGTAGCGAAGCCTCGCGATATCATACCATGCTGTTGCGATGTCTTGAGATCGTACCTTTAGATAACTGTAGAGAAGCATGTTGTAGTCGATACTTTCATTCTCAATGTGTCGTAGAATCACGCAGACAATGGAAAGACCATCCTATACTCATGTCAGGCCGAGCATTATCCATCTGACGTTTAGTTCCGGATACCTTGCTCTCGCCTCCGTCATAAACCGCTCGAGTAGTAAGGAACGACTCCGTGCCTTTGAAGGCATTTCTTAGCATGAAGTTCTGGAACCGAGAATACAGCGGAGGGGTGTTTGCAGAAATTTGTGGTCGATTCCATGACATCGCCAACGGTGGAGGACCAAGGTCTGCAATGAGGTTCCGAAGGGGCTCCAACATGGTGGGTGAGCCACGGGACAGTTCGCCGAGACCCCGAATGAGCACTCGCCTGTCCCGGGAGACCATTGTTTGACGGAGGTGGTCCCAGTGATCGTATAAGAATCGATGAATCGCAACACAAGATCCGAAGTCGACAAGTCCTGTGTTTTCCGGGTCCTCCAAAGGTTCAATGGGTTCCTGCGGTTGAACTTAGTCCTGCACGGTCGGAGCTTCGCGCAAAATTAGAAGGGCTCACCGAGATGCGGCTGAGGAATGTTGTCACAAAACCTATGTTTTGGACCAGGAAAGGGTTCAGAGGAAACATGTAAGGCTCTTTGGTGCCGAACAGGACGTTGTTGGCGAGGTTTTGTATGACTTTGGCGATCAACAGTAGTCCACGGCGCATCTCTTTAGTGGGAATGGATGATACAAGACCCTCGGATTCGGGTGCAACAATCGCCGGGCAGATGAATCGCAGGAACATGAAAGCGCCGACAGCCGTGTACTTCGCGTTTGGGAAACGATGTGACACTGTATCAGATATCTACGTCGCAAAACAAGTCAACGGTGCTCACAAGGTGCAAGCGAATGCAACTCACAATACCGCAAATTCTCCGGAATGACGCTGGAACAAGCGACTCCGAAGCACAGATATCATCCATGAAGACTTTCGCTACGATCTGCAGCTGAACTGCATTTTTCTGCAATTCCTCTTGTGATCCCACCCGGGCTGGGTCAAGTTCAAGGTCGAGATCCTGCGATGTGATCATCAGCCTCTCCAGAACATTGTGTAGAGTGGCCCGCAAGTAGGCGACGCCTTTCCATTTGGCATAGAGGGAGAGCATCTTTGTGGTGACAGAAGTTCTTCGCAAAAGTTCGGTCTCATTCTCTGCGGTACCGTCAGTGCATCTAGGAACTGGGCGATAGCCAAAGAGGCAACGATCTGAACCCCATACCCGTCTGTTCAACCTCGTACTGAATCAGGGCTTCGAAAAGATCGAAAATTCGGCCTCGCTGCTCGAAGATTGTCAAGAGGCAGACAGTGAGCTCGTCGACTTCGGAAGGCGGGCAAATGGAGCTCATCGAAACTGCAAGGGAGAGGTCCGTCGTCAAAAGCTCAATTGGCTGTCAGCAGATGGCACATCGGCATTGTCCGGCGTGACCACGACTGACATTGAACAGTGCTTCATATTTCTCGCTCACGGCCAAATCTGTGAGGCTACTGAATTCTTTCCCTTGCAGCAATATGTTGTATAGCACTTTGATGAACGCCGCACGAATCTCGATGTTCTCGTGGTAACCAATGTTCAAGGAGTGCTTGAGACCGACGTCGATATTTGCGCTCAGGAGGTTCGAGAGGACCGTGATTACCAAGTCTGAATTGGACATGGTCTCCTCCCGAGCTGCCGCAGCAGGAGGATACTCTAGCTTGCCCGAGTCTTTGGTCTCATAGTTCAGCAACGAGAGAAATCTGTTGAAGTATGTGTGGAACATCTGGGACTTCATTTCGCTCGTGTCGGCATCTGGCTGGTTGTCAATGGGCTGGAGCGGAAGCCGAGAAGTCAGATCCGCGAGACATTTGAGGCAGGCCTTGTCAAGGTCCCTCTGTATTCTCCGCCCGTCATCGTGCCGGGGCCCCAGCAGAGGCTGTTGGTCTGCTTTCGTCGAGTGTGGCCTCGCTATCCAGCCAAAAATGTACTCCAGTAGCTGGTTCCTGATTCGAACGTCATCTCGGAGGTTTAAATACTCCTTTCGCTTCGTTACCGCTTCGCAGAGGTTGGAGATTCTGATTTTCACCCTCTGCATATTCGTGCTATCCTGCGCTCCATCAATGAACCTGGCTAGGTTCAAAGTGAGAGCTCCCAAATGCACGGACGACGAGGCACCAAGATCTCCTGGGCTCTCAAGTCTCTCGACCATCGTTTTGAGAACTGAGGCTGCTTGCTCGGCAAAGATGATCTCGCTTTCGTGTCCCTTGTCGGCTGAAGCCAGGGCGCCCGTCAGAAGAACATCCAACTCTGACTCCAGAGCCCTGAACAGTGGTGGGTAAAGGACGGGTGGTATTTCGCTAGACAGCACGTCTCGCATCGCCTCGCGAACCTTGACATTAGAGCAGCCGAGGAGTTGAATGCTAAGCCTCAGGTAGCGTGTGAGAGGCGATTCTTCGTAATGGTCAGAGCACACCCGGTCAATCCATCGCATATCTTCGGGAAACGGCTCGTCCAGCGGTGGGCCTTGGTCGGCGGTGCATGTGCCGCCTAACGAGGCCAAGAAGCCTGAGAAATTCCGCCACTCGGCCAGCACCTTGTCGTCAACACCATCAACAGAAGTCGTGGACACCTCCTTCACTAGGTGGATCCACTTGTCAAACGCAGTCTCCCAAGCGGCGAGAATGCCCAAGGTCGGATGTTGCATTCGTCGGAGAAGCCCGCGCATCCGTTTTTGAAAGGCGACAAGACCAGTGAAGCGGAACTCGGGGGAGACGAGATCCTGGTATACAGCGCGATTGTATGACACCCAGGTGAAAGCCCGGGAAGAATCAGCAGTTGCCCGTAGCGCATGCTCCTCCAGAACCATCCCGATGCAGGCGGTTACGTTTTGGCACACCTCAATGCTGGGGGTGCATAGCGACACCAAAAGAGCAGTCTCGAGAGACGACGCAAACTCGGCGTCGATTGTGGCATCAGATACATCCACCAAATTCTATTTCTGTTAGCGGATACGTCGGGGCCGGCAAGCGCAAACATGATCGAATCGCGGGAGGTCCAAACGCACAGGGAGGGCTTTGATTAGAGTCACACGCGATTCCAGGACATCGTACAGCTCCAGTACAGCCCCATCGCCGTCTACACCGACGCGGCCGCAGATGTCGAGCAGCACGTCGGAGCTTGGGGGGCGGTTAGCGTCATGGCCTTCACACCGGGTCGCAAGCTCATGGCTGGACAGACTTGCCTCTGCTTCCACAACAGAGTCCGCAGTTCCTCCATGCCTGAGCCAATGGCGCCTTCGGGCATGCGGTGCAACTTGCCGGCGTTCGCAAAGACTCGTTTCGCGACTTGAGCAGCCAGCTGCCGCACTGACGGGTCTGGCGACAGCACACACAAGAGGAAGGGCCTAAGGAAGCCGCCCTCCGGAGAGGCGCGCGACAGCTCATCGAAAAGAGGCCCTGGGAACGCGTCCAAAAATTCGAGGATGGATTGCACCAAAACGCCGCCACTTGACCCTTGTTCGTCCCCCTGTGCTGTCGCGATACGGCTACAGTTAGCCTAGATGATGTTAGCATACTCTTGTCTATGATAATAGGCCAGCAACAGACCTCGAACTGGGCTCTCATGAAGGGGATGGCGGCATGGAACAGCCCGTCGCACTTGATGGCATGGGCTTGACCTGCGAAGTAGGAGCAAGTCTGTACGACGGCGATCTTGAACTTCTCCGGTGATGTCTGCGAGATGCACGTCCTCAGTAGAGCGTCGATGCTGCCATTCAGGTTCAGATGGGCCAGGCTCGCGAATGCCCCCGTAATGATGTCTTGGTCGAAGCCAAGGACCGGGGGCAAAGCGGGCGGAGAGCCGAAAAGTGCATCCCGTACTTCGTCCTGGACGTCCATAGCGTAACTGACGAGAGCAGAGTCATTCTCGGCATCGAAATGGCGTGCAGCGCGGAGGAGGGTAACCAGACAGTACGCGGCTCGCTCGTTGCCATTGCGCAGTGCTTTCCTGAGCGAGTCCAGAAAGGCGACCTTCTTCACCACGCTGTTACTCTTGGCCTCCCGCATGTTGCTGGCAACTTGAAAGACATCGGGGAGGAGGAGGAGCAACGTCATCTGCAGCGGGTAAAAGACGGCCTTCTTCTTGCCATTGTCCACCACCGTCTGCGTCATGTCGAACAGCGTGTCCGCGCCACCGTCGAGTCTTTTATGGATCAAATGAAGTCGCATGAACTGGTCTGGGAAGCGATCTATCCAGCGCGTAATGAGCAAAGGCAAGGCGACAGCGACCGTGTTCTGGCAAGACCGCCTAAAGTGCAAATAGCTGGAGCATAACTCCTGAATGACATGACCCAGTTTTGAGGCATCAACCCAGAAGAAAGACACGAGACGCACGATGACAAGAGCCAGCTTCTCTGCTGCTTGGGAGGAGCTGGACAATTCAGAGCTCGCGTCGGCAAACGATGTTGTTCGTATGCTGTAGACTACGTGCCTGAAGTAGGCAAAGGACGTCGACCAGCTCGATGCCGAAACATACTCAACCACGGTCTTGATGTGGACGTCCAGTTCGACCAAGCAATCCTCGAGGCATGGGACATCAGGGGCCGATGCGTCACTCTTCTGCTGCGAGGCGTTGGAGGGGCGAGGAACACGGATGTTGCGATCCGAGATTTGCTCCAGAAGGGCTTCCGCGGGCAGAACATAGTTGTCTGGGATGGGTTCCAAGAGCTGTTTAGCGACGTCGAACACACGATTGACGAGCCCTTCGTCCAACGGCTCGGGGGTCGGGAATCCTGCCGCGCTGGCTCTGGCGAGGCTGTCCGATATGGCGCTCCATGACGACGAGCAGCAATCAGCTAACAGAGCTACTATATAGACCTCTGACCGCAGGACATGGATCGGGTGTGTAGCAATGGGAGTGTGCGACCGTGTTAGGTCTTCGAGGAGGTCCAACAGAGATCCGAGCACGACGCTCAAGCTAGAGTGGCTCAAGTCGACCAGAGTAGCCCGCGTTATATGGAGAATTTCATCCTTGTCGAAGGCGCGGCCAGCGGCACCGGTGCGGTGCGGCAGCTAAACAAACGACGTCGTTAGAAACCAGTTGCGACAAGTCTCGAGAGCTTCCCCTCACCCTGGTTGCCACGCGGTCAACGAGGCAGCTGACCAGGCCAGCATCGCCATTCATTGTAGTACGCGCATAGACTTTTGCTCCGTTAGTAACGGTCCGACTTCGCAATCGCTTTCTAAAATGTTCTTGTCTGAATCGTCCGCGGTTTGTCTGTCGGCGAGGGGTAATGGATGGTAGGTAACGTGCCGCCCCACGCGTCGTGCCCCCTACCCTCGCGTCGCAATGCCGCGATAAGTCGGGACCCCTGCAGATGGTCACCCCCCCTGTTAGGCAGCGTTTTCCTACTAAAATCGACGAAATCGCTACCTTTTTAAAAATTAATATTAATTCGTATATAAATAATAAAATAGATTAAAGTAGACTTTTAAATACTTAAATACTTATATATATTAAAAAAATATTTTATTTTAATATAGCTATCTTATATATAAAATATAAAAAATCCTAAAAAGATTTAAAGTATAATAATAATAAGTCTTATAGGTTAGTTAAGTAAGAGAGGTAATAGCTATATAGTCTAGCGGCTATTATTATTATTACTATAAGTTAGAGACTAAAGCTTAAGAGGAGTGCTAGGGGCACAACCACTTTTGCTAGGTGCACAACCCGTCCCACAGACCGATGATTTCTAGCCAATCCCGTACCGCACCGCCCGCCACATCGCAAGCATCAGTCACTACGGGAGCAACCGCAAAATACAGCAACAGCAACAGCAGCAGCAGCAACAGCAGCATCAACTTATCGCGGCCGGCGCCAAAGCTAGGGACAGCATCGCAGACGGCATCGCAGGCGGCAGCGCAGGCGGCGGTAGCGCAGGCGGCGGTAGCGCAGGCAGTAACGCAGGCGGCAGCGCAGGCACGTTCGGCGCCCGGCACGCCTAAGACTGGAGCGCAAACCTGATTTCCGAACATTGCTGCGAAACGGCGCAAATGCGTTTTTCGGGTGAATTGAGCCCTGCCGGCGCCGTAGTAGCGATATAACGATGAGATATCGGCGTGCGTTGCGACACGGCGCTGCTATCCCATGCCTGTACACCAAAATTGGCTGGCGCGGGCTGGTAGCGGGGCGCGGACCTAGAAATGGGGACGGGTTGTGCACCTAGCAAAAAGTGGTTGTGCCCCTAGCACTCCTCAAGCTTAAAGGTTTATATAGCGTTTCGCCGGCGACTCATTAAAGGTATGCCCTAGCGGGCCGGCCGTTATATATATACTATATAGCTATTAAGGCTCTACGTCTAGCTAACTATTATAACTATCCCCCCTTTCTCGGAGCGGTTATCTTAACTATAGGTATATAGTTATAATGCCTTTAATTAAGTAATTAACTATTTATACTTATTCTTTTATAATAAATATATATCGTTAGTATTTTATAAGTAAGTTATTATTATTATATAACTTAGTTACCTTAATACTTAAGGCATTAAATAGCTATTTATACCTTATATAGCTATATATAGCTATATAGCTTAATATAATAATATATATAATAGCTTTTTTTATATACTTATTATTTATTTATAAATTACTCCTTTTTTACCCCTTTATCTTTAGAGATATATTATTTAGATATTACCCCTTTATTATTTAGATATTAACTCCTTTATATTAAAGGCCCGCTAAGTTACCTAGCCGTATAGTAAATTAAGGTCTATTATATAAACTAGCTATAGACCCCTAACGTACTTAAAAATAATAGTATATAATCTACCTCGCTATATAGTCTATTATAGCTTTATTTTCTACCTATTATATAATATAAGGCTACTCTCGATACTATAAGCGGTTAATAGTAAGATTAATAATAACCCTTACTTCCTTATTGGCTAGATTAGGCCATTAATAAGAGTAGATATATACCTCTTAATATACCGCTATAACGATATCTACCCTATATTTACGTAAAGATAATATAGTTAGCCTTATAGTATATTAATATCTCGATAAAGCTATTATTAATAACTAACCTCTATATAATATAGCATAACGTAAATAAGTATAAGGATAAAGAGACTATTAGCTATTAATTAATATTAATATATAAGAAGGTTATATATTTAAGGAGGCGAGCTTATATAAGATAGCTATAGCCTAGGGTATTATATACTAAGATTATTATATAGCTTATATAACTATATAATATAGAGTTTAAAGCTTAGCTTTTATATTGTCTTTAATGCCTTATAACCTAAGCTTCTTAATATCTCTAAAATCGTATATTAATATAATAGAGTTAGAGATACCTTTATTCTTTATTAAGGCAGGCGGTTTACCTCCTCTACCGCTACCGATATTACTATATCGCTTACTATTACGCTCTCGCTACGATATTAAGTAACGATAACGGCATATATAATTATAACCGTAACCGTAACTATAACCGTAACTATAACCATAACTATAATAGCCGCTACCGCTATAGCTTTATCTTTTCCTATAACCCCTACCGTAGCTCTTACTACCCTAATTATATATATTAGCTATATTACGTTTCTATCTCTTATTATCGCTACGTTAGGGGCTTAAAGAGATCTTATTATAAGTCTAGCCTTAGGCTCGGTATAGGAATTTAGTCCTATAGAGTTAAGACGAGCTACCTTTACTCTTTATAAAGCTATACTTATCTTTATATTTCTATTACGAGTTATTACTATATTAAGATATTAATATAGATTTCCGTTATTATAATATTAAGCCTTTATTGCTACTATTAAGACTACTATTAATAAGGCTCTTATTACCGCTATTAATACCTTTACCGCTATTAGAATAACTATAATAAGGATATAAATAGATTTAGGGTTATTTAGACTAATAGAGGATCTTTAAATAATAGCTAAATATAAAGTATAGGTAGGTATAATACTAAGGGTCTATAAGAATATAGATTAAACTTTATATTACTAAACTTATTATATAATTATTAATTAAACTTTTCTTTAAGTAATTTAGACTATAAGTATTATAGTAATTATATAAAATAAGACTAGAATTATAAATAAGTAAGTTAAGTATAAAGTAATAAAAGAGGTAAGTAATTAATATATTAATTATATTAAGTATATTAAGTAATAATTACGGTAAATAATATAGATAATATTAGCTTTCTATAAAGTAGAGGTAGTATTATTATAATTAGGCTTTTTTAAGTAGTTAATAATAATAACTAGTCTAACGTTAAGATAATCGATTTAATAGCTAACCTTCTTAAGACGCCTCTTAACTTACCTTTATAGATTAACTTAATTAATATCCTTAATACTATATTTAATATTTCGTCTTCTTTTCTACCTAACCTATATAATTTACTTACTTATTAGACCGTTATTCTTAAATCTATTATTATTAATAAGTCTAGAGTTATCCTTAAAATTAATATTAATAATAACTTAATCCTTAAATTTAATACCGCTATTAAGTCTATCCCTAAATATTACGCTATTAATAGATACGATATTATATATATTATATATAAAGCCGATAATAAGGCAATTAATATAGAGCTTATTAAAGAGGAGCCCGCTATAAATACTATTAATAATAAAGATCCCTTTATTAACGACCCTCTCTTTAATAAACTTATTACCGACGAACTTATTACTAACGAACTTATTACCGACGAACTTATTACTAACGAACTTACTACCGATAATATTATTAATAAAGATCCCTTTATTAATAACTTTATTATTAATAATAAGCCTTTTATAGATAATATTACTAATAGTAAGGTATTAGCTATTATAATCGATTTAGACTATACTATAAAGATAATCTTACTTTTATTAATACTATTGCCTCTTTTCGATATATATATCGATATAATTAATTGCCTATAGGGCTTTTATCGCAATAATAATATAAGTATTATTATTAAATCTAGCTAAGGCTTATATACCTTTATATATAATATAATAGCTATAGATATTTACTTTATCTATAATTATAGTAAAGAGTATATCTCTATTAATATTAAGGTCTAAAGATTAATATTATAATATATTAACTATTTATATATTATTATCTATAAGGCTAATAAAGTAATAAGCTAAAAGTAATATTATTATATCCTTTATAGTTAATATAATTATAGATTATTACTTAATCTATTAGCTTATAATATCTATTATTAATAGACTATAAAGTAAAAGCTTATAAAATAAGATCTTATAAAGATAGCTATAATTATTATATAGGCTATAAGTATATATATTTATAAAGTATAATAAGCTATATAAGATATATTTCTAAATCTAGGATATCTATAATAACTATTAAGGAATAAAATTATAGATTCTTACTAACTTAATAGTAGCTTAGGTATTTATTTAGATACTTTAAGGTACGCTAGACTTATTAAGGCTTAAGTACTTTATTAAGTATAATAATAAATAGCGCATTAAAGCTATTATATAGATATACCCTTAATATAAAGAGATATAAAAGAAGTTCCTTAAGGTCCTTAGCCTTAATAATATATATAATATAAATCGATATAAGCTATACCTATTCTAAGTTATTAAGGTAATAAACTAATATAATCTTATTAACTTTACCTTTAGCCTTATTAATATTAAGAAAGAAGAAGGCTATTAATAGCTCTATTAATAGCTAAGTACTATCTATAAGATAATTAGAGCGCTAGAGCTAAGGGTAGTTATTATAGAAAAAGAGGCTACCTTAAAAAACGCCCTTCGAGACCTTTTACCCTAATTATAATAATAGCTCTATATCTTCTATATTAATATAAACGTTAAGATAAAGATCTATAGGTATTTTAAGGGCGATAATAGCTCCTCTTCTAACCGCGACTTTAATAGCGATTCTTTTAATAGCGACTCTAATAGTAACTTTAATAGCGACTCTAATAGCGACTTTAATAGCGACTTTAATAGCTTAAATATTACTTCCGATCGTATTAATATAGCTTTACTTCTTAAGGAAGTAAATTAAGGATTTATATTATTACTAGCTAATAAGCTTATATAAATAGCTAATAAGATATATAATACCTAGAAATAGGTTATCTTTATTTATATTAAAGATAGTTTTATAATT